CTGAGTATTCTGTGTCCACAGATGTTCTGTTTCCCTCATTCCTTTGCCACAAAAAAAATCCTTACATTTGATGCACCTTGTACATTGGGAGGACATCTTAAAACACTTACCAGAATATACTGTAATTTGTATTTTGTGGGCAAACAATTGATCAGAGATTATTTCTACACTATGTACACTATGTCACATGACACTGTTTGGATTTTTCTAATCCAGATTACCCCAGAATGGATTTAAGTTCTTAAACGATATGCTGAGATCCAACATACCAAGTGAGTATTGTTATTATTGAAAATATTTAAATAATTCAGTTCAGATATTTGATGTTTAAAATTGTTCTTACATTTCTTGTACAGAGTGGAAGCTTTGATTTAATCAGTAGAGATGACTTCCATTTTGTACCGGTGAACAGATGTTAGGCAAAGCTTAGGAGTCCTGTAGCTCAGTGGTTAGAGCACTCGCTTTGCAAGTGAGAGACCTGAGTTCAATTCCAGGCAGAGGGCGAAACCTTGGGCAAGTTTCCTTACTCCACACAGAGCCTAATAATAATCCCTCCAAAAAACAATAATTAAATTGGTCATTTTCAATCTACGACTGTTTGTGGGACATTGCTGTGCGCAATTGGCTGCCGCGTTCGCCCACAAATATACAGTCAATTCACTTTACAGTGTGTTCTGTGAAGTGCTTTGGGACGTCCTTCCGACGTGAAAAGCGCTATATCAAATGCAAGGATTATTATTATTATTATTATTGAAGCTGTACTCCATTGTCTGATACAGTTCAGATAGTTATTACTGCCTATTATTACTAGTTTATAATATTGACTCTTGTCTCCGCTCTCCTTAGCTCATCATGTTGTGGGCTTGACTGTTCTCACAGCTTAAAGGATTCAACAAGACCGCTGTATATCAGGTTCACAGAGTACAACCAGCTGACAACTATGAGCTTTCTCAGTAATAGAGCTGTTAACTACAGAAAGTAAAACTAGAGAAATCAATGGGGGTACTTGTTCTCACCTGCCCTCTTTCAAGATACTTTTACTATCCAACAAACTGCTTGAGAAGATCAGTGTTAAAACTACTATAATAATGTAACAATCCTTGCATTTGATATAGCGCTTTTCACGTCTTCTAGATGTCTCAAAGCGCTTTACAGAATATGCTTTAAATTGAATTGACCGTATATTTGTGGGCAAAACGCGGCAGCCAATTGTGCACAGCAGTGTCCCACAAACGGTCATGGATTGAAAATGACCAATTTATTATAGCTTTGCTTTTTGGAGGGATTATTACTGTTTATATTAGGAGAGTGATATTAGGAGTGATCTTGCAATGAAATTACTTAAAGGCAAGAAAAATAGTTTAAATTACTTTTTTTAATTCTATATTTTTTAGTGATGTATTGTGAGAACAAAGTCAAGAGTACACATGATTTGCCAAACTTCCATCCTGTGGCAATAGCAGGGTGGATTATGCAGTTCTGATGTTCTGTGAACCCAGCCCTCGAGTAGTTCATTTTTATGGGATCCAGGACATTGAATCTTGTCATGTAACAAGAAATTGAAGAAAGATCAAAAGGATCTATCATGGCGTCTATTAAAATTATCAGCTGTACAAACAACGAGACAAGCTTGTTTCAGAGTCTGACAATTACAGGACACAAAGCTGCCAAGAAAATACTTAATCATGTGGATTTATTGCTGCCAAGGCTGTGCACTGTTTAAGCAGGCAGAACTGTAGACTGCAAAGCATTAGATTATTATACAGAATATATGAAAAATCATGCATGACTAAGGGTGCATCTAAAGAATATGACTCAATATCAACATTTTTACATTTAATCTATACCTCTGCTCCCAAACGTATAATGATCAGAACTACCAGATTGTGAAAAAGACGATCACTGCCGAGGCTGCGAAATTACACCTACATTTTTGTATGAAAAGCTTTGCAAACTTCCTTTAGTTACAAACATTCAGCTCCTTGGCTTGACAATCGTGTGTGGTCTATCACAAATGACAAATCAGGCTGGAAAACTGGTAATAGAGTGAAATCCTTGAGCACAACTCAGTTTGAATTACCAGCGTTAGCATCTGCAGTCTTTCTACAGTCAGCGTCTGTGATGGAATACTGTAGCCCTGATTGACAGGCTACTGACACCAGGACAGTTACCTTACTTAAGGAATAATAATAATCCTTGCATTTGATATAGCGCCATATCCCATTGTTAAGACATCTCAAAACGCTTCACAGAATATATTGTAAAGTGGATTGACTGTGTATTTTTAAATGGTTGATTTAAAAAATATTGTAACCCTAGTGTAGGGTTAAGGTTATTGTATATTTAAATGAGTTGATGCTACACATACATGACCTCCATCCCTCTTCCTTATCCTTCCCCCGCCCCCCCCCCCCCCCCCCCCAGTCTCCAAAGAACAGAGATAATTGTGTCTCTTGATTTGGGATTAAAAGACCTCCCAGTTTCTAATAAAATGTGGAACATGCCCAATGGGCCCTATGGCCTCCTCCTGTTACTGTTTTCCTATATATTTGACCATTTCAGGCTGCACCTATGCCTGTATACTACAGTATGATATTGATACTTATTGAGCTGTTTATGAAGGAGTTAACTGATCAACTGCTTTTCTTGGGAAATATCCATTAGAGTCGGGGGGATGTGGAATTTTCTCATCTCCAGTCTCATTTTAATTGTAAACCTATATCTTTTGGTTGGTTCTCATGGATGAGCCTGATTACATTTTCCTCATCTTTGCCTTTCTGCATTTTAAAGACCCCGATCACATCTATCTTCAATCACCTTTTTTCTAATGAAATCAGCTCTGCGACTGTTTTCTGCCAACTTCGCTCTCTCAGTCCCAGAAGCAAATCAGAGTTCTCTTGTCTAAACCCCCTTCTGATACCCAAAACTGCAAACAACATTCCAAATCTAGATCATATTACTCTCTCAAACCTTGGTGGTTAAAATAAGCAAAGAGGAGGCTTTGAGATTTCTTAAGACTATTTATTTTACAATCAAGCATTAACAGAGAAAAGCAAAACTGACAGCGAGTTAGAAAGTGGTCTATTGGATCCCTTCATGCTAAGAGATTGTTCTTTATGTTATGGAAATCATTTTGCACCCTCAAGTGGTGAAGCAGACACACTACAGTGAACATTGTTTTAAGTTAATAAATTGCATGGCATCCATCGATTGCTTGCATACATAAAGCTGGCATTAACATTACTCAATTTCAGTTTTTAATTCTGAAACCAAAAAGCAATATAGAGCTGTGAACAAAAGTTGCATAATAATACAAAATATATACAGCAATCTGAATCCAGATGAAATTACAATAATAGCTGTTTTGTGTACATTGAATTGCCAAATTATTTTTTAAACTTAGAGCCAATATTCACTGAGCAATGCTTATACTATACATGTAAGATGTACGTGCAGGTGTGTAAAATATATACATGCCACTAAAAACTAATTTTTATAGTAAACATCTTTTGACTTTTATTAGTGTTACTTCACTTTGTTCAATAATACAACAGCAATAAAGGCTGACTATGATTAAGTCCAATGATTAGTAGTTTGATTCTGTGTGAAATAGCAACATTGCATACAAAACCGGTCACAAAACCCTGATCAATACATGACTAGTTACTGAACCATCCTCTCAGAATACAAGCACGCAGCACTAAATCTATCAAAACATTTTTTTGTAACATGCAACATGCAAGAATAAGTAAAGATCCACCCAGAATGTTTTAGGCCATCACGCAAATGCCCTCCACACTACTTCCACCAGTCAATACTTCAATACCAAAGCACTGATTGACATTTGTCTAAATAAGATCTTTGGTTACCAGTTAGGGTGATGAAGCACTCTGCCAAGCTCAATATATATTGATTATATTGTTAACAGTTTTCAAATATCTGCATCGCAAATGATCACTTTATCAGCCTGGCTGAGCGGTGTTTGACCACTTCTGCACAATCGAGCTGCTGAAAGCCCCTTGGTGCGATATCAGTGTCAATCCTTACTCATTTTAATTGAGGATCAATTAAAACTCTTGCTGAACTCCAGAGACACAGATTGGAAGAAATCATAAGACCTACAAAGTGAAACATTTTTAGAATATAACTGAATTCAGTGGTTAGCTGTGTCTTCTGTAACACTTTCTACTCAAGTCATTCAAAATGTCAGATCAACTACTGATGGTGGTTGATCCTAAAAAGAAATCAAAAAGATCTAACTCCACTTCCATCCTTAAAATACAATACAAAATTACATTTGTACAGCGCCTTTCACGTAGCGAGGCATTTTGTATGATTTTGATTATATCATGCAAAGTCTGATTGGTTTCCACGAAAGGACAACATCCGCATTGAACCAGTTGTCCCATACATTCCACAGCTGAAAAGTTACAGCACTTCTTTCAAGCTCTCTTAAAGACTCAGTGGATAGATCCACCACCTAATGAAGGACACAAAAGCAAAGCAGATGAGGTTGTTGAGAGTTTTGCTTTACCAAAACTGCTTTGTTACATGGTGTAGATATGATTTGATCCAGGTTTTAAACCCTGGTCTGTGCTAATTAGCTAATCTGCCAAAACAGCAATAAGGCTGCAACACAGGCCTCTTCACCCTTGGGGAAAATCATTTGTGTTTCCTGCTCCTGAATGTTACCCTTAATACAGGTGCACATAAGGTGAGGACAGAACTGGTCTGAGGAAGTGATGTCCTTCAAGTGTAAATGCCTGCCAATACTCACTGTCAAGCCACATTTGCCATACTCTCAGCAATGACCTTCAATAAGGGTTGGGAGTAAAATTGACAATAAAAAAAGACTTTTTTGACTTGATATGAATGCACGAAACAATTTTTTCTATAGATTAATTAAAGCATTTTCAATTACAATTAAATAATTTCAATTATTTAATTGTAATGGATTACAATTTCAATTACAATTTCAATTATAATTAAAGCATTTTCCATGGATCACAGTATTATAATTACATTACAAGTACACATGAACAAACATAAAAATCTCACTGTTTTGAACTTTTACAGTAGGTCAAATGTAATGTTCAAATAACTGTCCATTTCTAGTTACGGGTTTTTCAATAGCAGCAAAATGCATCCTTAAACAGTTTCTTTTTGTGTGGAAAGTCGATCAGAAGGACACAATTCAGCTGCAAGTTTAAAAACATGAACATGCACTCTTATTTTGTAGAACTTCACAGAATGGGATTTTTCCCAGAAAGTGCTGGCTACTGACATCCGACAAAGTAAACATGTCGAAAGCATTTATTTAGCTAAAGCACCAGCCAAAAAAATATATAATTGTATCCGAGTCCTACAAACTACACTATAACAAAACAATTTTAGCAAATCCATCAAAAATATACTGCCAAATTAGGAAATAGTCATGGTCGGAAATAGCCAATTTGCTTTAATAATCACGTAACTCTTGGTAGTAACACACTAGATCAACTAGTTATACACATCAAATTACACATTAAATAGATGTAATATAACTGAAATGATCACAGGCACATCAAGTTCAATATAGACAATGCAAGGTTCTGTATTTATAGGGCATATAAATATGAGGCACACACACTCCACGCATGGCATAGAGTTTATCAAGAAAACTGAAAGTAAGTAACCAAGCCATTGACTGGGCAATCACAATGTCTAAATGGTGTGAAGCAGCAGGAAGCAAAGTGAACATGATAATAACCCAAATGACAATATTAGTTGAGTTCAGCATCTAAATTCAAGCTATACATGCGTAGGTCAAGCTGCTCCTACAGAACTTGTTACTGTGACTTAAGGGGGCTGCCCAGGACCAAGAGGCAATGCAGATGAGAACAGCAAAATTGGTAACCATCGTTTGAAGGATGATCTGTTAGGAATAACGAGATAAACTATGAGTCTTCACCCTTGATGGGACATCTCAGTGGAGATCTGAGAACTATATAAGATAAAGTAAACCCAGAACAATACTTTCATATATGTTGAGACAGCAGAACAAGAGGGCACAGATTCAGAGTGGTGAGGAATAATGATAGGTCAAACACGAGGAGGTATTTCTTTAGTGAGAGAATGTCACCAGCTGGAGTGGGTTATAGTTGAGTGAGGCCAACACACTGGACTCATTTAAAAAGCAGCTTCATGCTGTAATGGGAAAATGGTTGGGTTGATATTCTTGACGGATGATATTAAATAGTCCAAAGGGCCTTCTTCATCCGAACTTCTTGTGATCTAGTGGAGAATTAATAATATTTAAACCATACTTCCACAGATATGTAAAGAACACAAGAGCGGCTGAGCTGAACCGCACGACTTGATACCAATCCAAAGAATCTACACAGAGTATCGAGAGCAAAACTCTACATATTGCACTCTCTCTCTGCCACACAGCTAGAGATGTAATCAGGTATCATGAAAGCAGGAATTCAACAGCTGAAATGGATAACTAGGGAGTGAAGTCAGGACAGAGGACAGTGGACAATGCATTTAACAAACAGCTTGATGATGCAATGAGATGATGAAAAGGTTGGTATTTCGAAAGGATGATATTAAATGGGCTGAAAGGCCTTCTTTCCTGAATCTTTCATGATCTTATGAAACATCAAAATAGCACAAAACTTATTAAATGTGCATGAGAAACAAACTCTTGTGATGCCTTCCATCTTCAAGCTATTTTCATGACAAATAGGAGACAATTTTATGACAAATAGTGATATTAAAACAATCAATGAGCACTTTATTCAGTGTCAAACATAGGTCTGAAAAGCAAAATTAGGAAACAAATTAGTACACAAGAGTTAACGAGTTTGTCTCTAAAGGGCTCAAAAGGATTGCAAAAATCAAATGGACTGATTTGCTCAGTGAAACACATTTGGGATTCTGTGAGATCGGCAGATCAATCACTGACATGCTATGCAATCTGTGACTGCCTTAAACTGGTTAATGCTTCGTTGCAAATTTGTTAATTAAAATCCATCAGGTCCATTTTTTATTTCAATTAATCACACCACAGCCTACTTATCAGATCCAAGAATGATTTGAAAGCTTTCACCCTATCTACACAAGCAAACTTGAAGAGTTATGAATACATTTTAAATTCTAATTGTACCTGATAGTTATTTAAGATTTATGTAGAACAATAACCATCGGATTCAGAAACATTAGAATCACAGCTGATTCCAATTCTTACAGAACCATTTTACAGTGCTTCTTTATGATTTGAGTATGATAACCAGAGGGCAACGTTGGCGACCTCTCCCCAACACCCACCCATTGCAATTCATCTTCAGAGCTTTGGAGACCTGTCAACAAATCCATCTTATGTCATTATTTTCTTCCAGAGTATTACAACTATGCCAATGAATATAGGTTACAACGTGTGAAATTTACAATGTTTAGTAACCATAGTGTATAATTTGCCCACATTTTCATATTCATGAACCTTAATTTTGTTTCCTCTCTCCCCATCTTTTAGAGTTATTTTACTCACCTATCTGTGGCTTAGAAAAACAATATCACTTGCCCACCCCCAAAAGTGATAGCCACAGATAGGTAGGTGGCTTAGACAACCACTCAAGAGAAGTGCAAAAATACAGAACGTGAAAGTAATAATAATAATCCTTGCATTTGATAGAGCGCCTTATCACGTCTTGGAGACGTTTCAAAGTGCTTCACAGAATATACTGTAAAGTAAATTGACTGTATATTTAGTGGGCAAAACTTGGCAGCCAATTGTGCACAGCAGTGTCCCACAAACAGTCATGGATTGAGTGACCAAATTATTATTATTTTTTGGAGGGAATATTATTCCTGGAAAAGCAATCCGCCAATTGACTAACAACTGGGTTCCTACTTACTTAAGTACCTCACCAACCTACTGCCCCTTCTTCTCTATGAGGACATCTCAACTGAACAGCCTGGCAGAAAAGAGAAAAAAGATTCTATATGGAATCCTAAGCCCAATGCACAGATGATTAACAACTGGAAAGGGTTAGCATGGGTCAGATGTCCTGGGTGCGTGGTTTCACCCAGGACATCTGACCTATTTATGAAATAACTTGATGGTGTAATGGGAAGATAGTAGCATGAGTTTTCTGGAAGGATGAGACCAAATGGGCTTAAAGGTCCTTCTTGATTCATCGCTCTCTTATGATCACCATTCTATAAGTGCCGAAATTGTACCAATTTTATTTGAAATACCCGAAAGCATAAATAAACATGAACAACGAGGTGTGTGGACAATGAAGTAATACTGCGAGTCAAAATTCAGCCAAGTTTTTCGCTCCACTGTGCCATTGCTGCAAACTTCATCATGATCCAATTGATCCTTAGTAAGCTGTCACCTTACACCTAATGTGCACTATGCTCCCACTCGGATTTAAACAACTGATCCAACAGATGTAACAGCATAAAATATGGTCTGGAGGGGCAGATCTTATGTTAGAACAAAATGTAGTTAACTTCCTGCCAAACTAATATAACTAGTGTTGGATGGGACAAGCTCCTTTATATAAGAGAGCTGGCAACTGAAGCATCAAAACTGAAGATTGGTGGAAAGATGAGTTAGCTCAGAGAAGCTTTGGCAAGAGAAGGCTCCTGAAAGGACAGGAAGAGACCAAAAGCGAAGAGTTGATGCTTCATTCTCTGAAGTCCATAAAGGCGTCAATTGGTGTTAATCTTGTCTCTTAATCAAGTTGAGGATTCAAAGCTCCTGTTGGGTGACACTCCAGTGCAATGCTAGTGGAGCACTACATTGTGGAAGTGTAGCGTTGCAATGTTAAACAGGATTACTGTCTGAACTTGGGTAAATGTTAAAAATCCCATTACACGATTCACAAGAGAATATACCTCCAGATGAAATTGGTCATTCACCTTGTGCCTCCCTTTTGAAACCTTGCAGTGCGCAAAACGGCTGCCATTTTGCCAATACAAATAGTCACTTTGCTTGCCATTACTTATTGTAAAACACTTTTTTTATCCATTTGAAAATATAAATATTCCAGTAATTTTTCTCTGTAACCATTCATCAGCTCCAGCAGTGGATTCAAGAGTTGGGAGCAGTGATACAGTGAAGCTGTAATTTGCTTCACTATTGCACAAATTCATTTATAATGCAATTGCACAGTTCACTCCTTTCATTCCATATGCACCCTGTGGGCCTGCTTATTTTCCATAAGGAGCACAGCTTTTTTCACTAAAATGACAGACTTCCAGTTCATTCGGAAAGATCTCCATCATTTGCACATTAACAAAGCAGGAAGTGACATCGGGGGCAAACTATGAACCAGAAAGCGACCATTTTAGCTTCCCGCACTAAAAAGGTCAACTTTCAGGTCACCAGGGCAAGTGCACACAACAGGAAGTGATGTTGTGGTGACCCACTGATCTGGAAGTTGGCCATTTTTTCTTTCAGCTCAGGAACCGTCCAGCGCACTCCTCGTGCATCACTCTTTACTTCACGCTCGGTATAACCTGCTACTGAGCCTCACTATAATAAGAGTTGAATTTTATGGATCCCAAACATTGCATTGTAAATGAGGCTGCGTTGCATTTTGTTCAGAATGGTTCAGTATGTTTAAGATGCCGAGTGCAATAAGTAGAATTGTTATGAGGCAGACCAATTCAAGATGTAATTAAGTTCAAAAGACTTCTAAACACACAAAAAAAACCCTGCTTAGCACCAACCTAATTTGTAACGGTAAAAAAAATTAAATAATGAACATAAAAAAAGAAAGTACAACATGAACACAGAAACAAAAAAAAAGTCCTTCTACCTCAACTAATTTTGTTTGCAGCTGATAGGTATTTAATTTTGGTTTAGATGTGTATAGATATATATATATATACTATAACTTGATGAAATTCGCAAAATTATGTTATCTGCAACAAGATGGCTGTCCAAGACACTCCCTTTGCCTTCATAACTAGAAAGCCTTTGTCTATTTAATAATAATAATAATAATAATAATCCTTGCATTTGATATAGCGCTTTTCACGTCGGGAGGACGTCCCAAAGCGCTTCACAGAACACACTGTAAAGTGAATTGACTGTATATTTGTGGGCGAACGCGGCAGCCAATTGCGCACAGCAATGTCCCACAAACAGTCGTAGATTGAAAATGACCAATTTAATTATTGTTTTTTTTTTTTGGAGGGATTATTATTAGGCGTGTGGAGTAAGGAAACTTGCCCAAGGTTTCGCCCTCTGCCTGGAAATGAACTCAGGTCTCTCACTTGCAAAGCGAGTGCTCTAACCACTGAGCTACAGGACTCCTAAGCTTTACCTAACATCTGTTCACCGGTACAAAATGGAAGTCATCTCTACTGATTAAATCAAAGCTTCCACTCTGTACAAGAAATGTAAGAACAATTTTAAAAGGCATTAATTCACAAAATGCAGTACAAGGGCAACATTAATTTGTGTTGGCAAAGCACAAGCACACATAGAAATATATCAACTCCATCACAATTTTTGGTATAGTCATCGCTTTGAAAGGTAGGAAGTTTATCTTCCATGGAAATTGTCAATGATGAAGGATTTCAAAGCTATTCGTTGTATTTGCTATGTGGTTTTAGTTGATTAAAATCCAGCAGTACTCCAACGCACATTCTGGGAGTATTAGGTGTAGCTCTTGCCAAGCTACACCTAATACTCTCTGGAATTAGGTAGGCAGAGTGCATACCTCCAGGTAGACAGCACACATTCCATTCCAGACACAGGGAACATTTCCATGTGGGGGTGGCATACAAATGTGGAACTCTGTCTGGTTTGGATATTCTTAAGAATGGTGCTGGGTTTCTGCATGTGTCAGACACCTGACTGACCAAAAATTTGTCGTGGCACAGGTGAATGATTGATGAACAATGTTAGGACATGATCTTAGTACTGTTTCCCCCTCATCACTGGGCAAAAGTGTAAAAGGTTAATAAAAAAAATTGATTTTAAAAAATAACACAAGGGAATAGACTGATTTAGGAGAGTGGGATTAGGAGAGGATGGAGGCTTATGTGGAGTATAAACATCCACATGGACTAGTTGGGCCAGATGGCCTGTTTCCGCATTGTACAGTATATGTATGTAAATTCGATGTATATGAATGAATACCTCTGGTGACACACTTGAAACTATGGCACATGTTTCAATTTTCTCTTAAATTTTCTCTGAGAACACTTGTGTATTAGATCCACACTGATTTCAATAAGGGGAGAGTAAAAAAAAATCTCATAAGCCCCTTTTGAAGTTTGCTGACAGAAAAAAAGAGCTCTGCAGCTGTGAAATGTCCAACACTGCGCAAGTTGCCTGGGGAAGTAGTTTATTACCAAAAGATTTGATTTAAAACTTATGATTTCAATACAAAGATTAGATAAATGACTTTGTATATATAATTATTTAGTAAATCAGTTCAACTGTCTGCATTTTTTTTAAAATCCATTTGTAGTTTAAAAACTACAAATGTGCAACAGATGGGGAATGAGGGTGGGGGGGTAGGAGACAGAGTGGAAGGGTCAAAGAGAAACAATTCAGTCTCAAATCCTCCCATCCATTATATTCTCAACTCTATAGCTACGAAGACAATTCCGGGAATTTATTAAAAGCATTCGGCCTTTGGGTTCTGAAAAATTCTTTGCCCAACAAAGGCAACTTGAATTAATTTTTCATTTGGTTCAGTGTACTCAATCAGCTGCATTAGGTGAGGCCCTACCTGGTGACACTGCATCTGTTTTCAATCAAATCCCTTTCCACATCCAGGAAGCTGCGAGGCAGTCTATATTCCACAGGCGATGTCAACCTCTTGAGACGTAGAAGGCCAATGCAGAACTTAGCTCCCATCTCTTCCAGTTCTCTTGTTCCTATCTGATTACCCTTTGGAACAGAATATGTGGTATTGAACTACAAAACTTCGTATTTTATAAGATGTTGTTTTATTGATGCCATTAGTATTAGGCTGATCATTTTTCTTGAATCCTGAACAGTTTGCTGTTGTTCTATATTGTTAACCAGTTTCACAAAGATATTTGTACACTGTGACTGAAAGCTCCAAACACTGAATACGCACTGAGGTTTATAACAAAGAATACTGGGTGTAAACATTGTTAATTGCCCAATATTGTAAAAGTACTATTTTATATGAGATAATATTTAAGTGCACAATATTCTTCAAATAAGCATATAAATGAGGGAACAAGAGAAGGATGGAGAACGAGAGAGAGGTAAAATTTTAACTTATTAAGCAGAAAAATGGTCCTTCAATCCTCAACATGTTAATGCAGAAAACAGCTTTCGGTGAATTACTTCCTACTTAAATTAATGAACGAGGAGCAATCTTTGTATCCAGAGTACGTAATCATAATATCCTCTTCACCTGAAAGTTGACCTTTCACACACAAAACTCTCTTCCCAGTCCAAACATGTTCTTTTTTTCACCTGATGTGACTCGAATTGTATTACTGCTTTATTCTTTGCCGTTTTGAAATACTAATTTAATTATTCTACTGTAATGTTCCAGTGTGTTCTCTTGATTTCTCAGCTCTCACTTCTACCTCCTCCAGGGAAGCAAGTTCCGGGTGCTTCAGCTTATTTGTACAGCAGAGCACTAATATGTTATGGAGTGCCCATTCTGTTATGGAGTCCCTCCCTCTCTTACCCAGAGGGACACACTCTGCTTACTGAATCCCAACTAAGGTCCAGGTTAGCAAGAGATAAGTCTTGAGGACCTTATATTGTGCACTGGAGGTAATACTGGAGTTTAACCAGCTAAAACTATGTAGATTACAGTTGCGAACATGAGCAAGCTTATCTCTGCTTTGGTTTGCAGGGTTAATAGGAGCTAAGTGGGAAAAAGCCCAACTCTCAAAGATCTGCTCCTCCTAGTCCTGCTATTAAGCCATATTGGCTTATCTGCCATTAACAGTACCTTTGAAGTACTAGTGATCTGCATGCTTCAGGTATCAGATTACAGATTCATGATCATAACACATCAGCAAAAATCTCAACTTCGATTGGTAGTCCTGAGAATAGGCTTACAGTATCAGAAAATACATGTGAGCTATTTCACCCCCTTTACCTTGTATTTCCCCTGATCGCAGCCACAATAGGTACTTTCCATGGTGTAACTTCGAGCTACACCAACCTCACGCCACACTACAACCCTCGCTGTGGACTCCTTGGATTTCTCTACCACAAAACTGCAGCTGCTCATGCAGAACGCTGGTGCAATTTGGTTCAGTATCTTTGGTAGGGTCTAGAAACATTAAAAGCAAACAAAATATGAAATTTAATTATATAATATAAATTTTCTATATGGCATTATTTCTCTTTATTCCCCCAAAAGAAAAATTGAAGCTTCTATCATTTTTCCCCCTTCCCCCAAAAGAAATAATACCAGTTACCTATTTCTCCTCACCTGCAACCTATTTGCTAGGTTGTCTTCTGCCATTTCTGCCACCTACAATATGATCCCAGCAAATGATCAATTATCCCCAACCCAATCAGCTTTCCTGATCCTTCACAAAACCTTTCACTCTCCATCACCACTGTTCTTCCCCAGGGATTTTCTCCTCCACATGCATCTATACTTCTGCTACTTCCCACATTACTCGACTTGTAATAATTCCCATATACCTCTTCCAAACTCATGCACTCACAGTGGAGTCTGCTCTGCATTGGCGATGTAAAGGGCAGATTGTGTTACCTTTTGACTGAATGTTTCCATATTGCCTATGAACATGATCCCCACACACCTTTAAGTTTCAAGTTTTGACCTCCGACTGCACTAATCAAGATAATTGCAAACTTCAGGAGCAGTACATCACCTTTCTCTTAAGGCAGACTAGTCTAGTCCTACTTGCTCACTTTCATTTTATGAAGAAGCTTTTCCAGTCTAATTGTTCCTGTTCCAATTAACTTTCAGAAAATAGTTTATCAGCTAAAACCTCTTTATTCAAAAGTCACTAATATTACACATGGTTCAGCCAAGGCATTTTATTTTGAACAAACATTTTTACTTCAATGTCCTAGAGAATATCGCAGTGACTACTAGTCATTCTTGTATGCTGCCTTTACGTGAAGCAATGAAGTATTATCCAGATTGCCGTTTGCTCCAAATTATCCAGAATTTAAGACAATCTCTTATGGTGGGTGGGTCTGGTCAACTTGAAGACAATTCAAAAAAGGTTAATTCAGGTATTGTTGTAAATAGAGCATTAGATTTTACTAAAACTATTGTCTGATTGTCAATAGATACAGTTGTTCACAACTGTAAACTCAGAAGTGACCTGCTTTCAATGGATGATTGAGTGTTGAGTGCATACTCACTCTGTAGCCGAGATCTTCCTGAAGGTCACATGAGGAGGCACTAACGTCAGTCTGCCACACCGTCTCCTTAATGCTGCAGCCATACATGAAGACGTTTTTCTTGCGTGAGTGACCATGATAATCACAAAATACCTGCAATACAACGGTGGAGTGAAAAAGGCATGAAAAAAAACTCTCGAGTAGCTCCTGTATGGATCATCCCTAAGAGCCACAACAACAACAAAATTACATTTATAGAGTGCCTTTCATGTCGGGAGGACACCCTAAAGCGCTGAACAGTCAGGTGTCGGGGCCCCGAGCACGGGGGAGGGGTGGCGGAGGAGTGAGGGAAGGCAGAGAGGTGGGAGGGCTACCAAAGGTACGATCGAAGAGAAGGGTCTTGAAGGAGGCAAGGGAGGAAGTGAGGCGAAGGGACCGTGGAATGCAGTTCCAGAGTGTGGGGGCAGAGAGGCTGAACGCCCGGCCAACAATAATAATAATAATAATCCTTGCATTTGATATAGCGCTTTTCATGTCGGGAGGACGTCCCAAAGCGCTTCACAGAACACACTGTAAAGTGAATTGACTGTGGCGAACGCGGCAGCCAATTGCGCACAGCAATGTCCCACAAACATTCGTAGATTGAAAATGACCAATTTATTATTGTTTTTGATTTTGGAGGGATTATCATTAGGCGTGTGGAGTAAGGAAACTTGCCCAAGGTTTCGCCCTGACTGGAATTGAACTCAGGTCTCTCACTTGCAAAGCGAGTGTTCTGACCACTGAGCTACAGGACTCCACCGATGGTAGGGCGGGAGACATGTAGCAGACCAGAGCACACTGACGGAGGGAGAGGCCAAATGTTTAATCCCACATTGAAATTATGAAAACAAATATTGATCATTTTCTTTACTGATACACAGAAAGCAGAAGCAACAATTCTGTGACATAGCCTACCATTACAATCTCTGTCTGTATGTATGATTTATTGAACTATGTTCCACAAACCTATCGGAGCATTACCACCAAGAAGAAGCCAATGGTTTTGACATTCCAACTTCTCAGGATGTGAGTGGGTTGGTGACAGTAAGTAATAATAATAATCCTTGCATTTGATATAGCGCTTTTCACGTCTTCTCGACGTCTCAAAGCGCTTCACAAAATAGATTGTAAAGTGAATTGACCGCATATTTGTGGGCGAAACGCGGCAGTCAATTGCGCACAGCAGTGTCCCACAAACAGTCGTGGATTGAAAATGACCAATTTATTACTGTTTTGTTTTTGGAGGGATTATTATTAGGCGTGTGGAGTAAGGAAACTTGCCCAAGATTTCACCCTTGTGAAAGGAAGTGAGCAAAGAGGGCGGGACAGGGTCAAAAGTGTGGAGGGAGGGATGAGGGAGCGAGGGGTGTGGATGGGGTGGTGGTAGAGGGGTTAGAGGAAGCAGAGCCAATCCCCTCAACTTTGGGCTCAAGGAAATCCATCATCTCCTCGTATTTGGTGTTGGAGGAGATGGCAGAGGCATGGGAGGGTGGATGGAGGATTTGGTTAACAGTAGAAAGAAGAGTCTGGAGTTGTCTTTTGTTTCCAAGATGATTTTGGAATAAAAGGATGACTTAGCTGAAGCGATGGCAGAGCGGTAGATCCTGGTGCAGTCCTGCAGGATCTGATGTTGAACTGCCAATCTGGATTTGCGCCAGGTGCTTTGGCGTAGCACACCTGAGATTTGAAGGAGTGGAGGTGGCTGATGTACCAGGGTGACTTGTGCGAGTAGGAGGTGGTGCGGGAGATAATGGGGCAAGGGTATCGAGGATGTCCATGAGGAAGTTATTTAGAAGGGTGACCGAGGAGGGTACATCATTGCAGGAGGAGGGCCAGAGGGGAAGGAGTTTAGATGCCTCCAGGGCAGGAGAAGGCACGGAGGGGGATTTTTCTCCAGGCACAATAGGAAATGCATGTGAGATGGATGGCAGGGAGGGGGAATGGAGGAATTAAGGGAGATGAAATAGTGATCTGTAGGACTGAGGGGAGGAAGGGGAAGCGGGGTGACTTGAGCAAATACTAAAACATTAACTGGAGTCAAACAGCTGCTCAAAGCATTGGGTTAAACGAAGGTCAACTTGCAAGTCAGATTTATTTTCCATGGTTTAATATGTGAAACACAAAGTCTGCTGTAAGTAACACTGCAGCAGTTAATTCATATATTAAACAGCAATTAATTGGCCTGTAATATTTAGCAGGACAGACTGTCAAAGCACAATATCTCTCACTTACAGCTAGGGGTTTAATTCAGATGGTAAACAACAACAGTTTAGATTTATATAGTACCTTTCACTGTGGAAGGATAGGGTATATGAAGGCCAAAGTTTCCTGACTGGTCACGGCAGCCGGGTCACAGAGGTCAGACGGGGTGGGCCCAAGGAGGCATTTGAAAGTGTGGATGAGAACTATCAATTCAATCTGGTGAGGGATTGAGAGATAAGGAACCAGTGGAGCCAAACCAAGATACGGGTGCTGGTCTGGTGCAGAGGATATGGGCTGCAAAGTTCTGGATGGTCTGCAGGTTGTGTGTGTGGCGGGGGTGGGGGGGGAAGCTGGAAGACCAGCAAGCAGGGCATTAGAGCAGCTGAGCCTAAAGGTGATGAGCTTGATACGGTCTGAGGAGAGATAGTGGTGGAGCTGGGCGATATTGCGGAGATGAGGGACTGCTGAGAAAATGAGTGGCAAGGTTTGAAGTACAACTGAGTAAATTGTAGGAAAAAACCATGGATGAACAAATTACTGTGTTTTTGATCAAAAAAAAATCAAAAAAGGTGAACTAATCGTCCCTCAAGTGTTGAAATCTGGATTTGATATAGTATTATTGGAGAAAGAAAGTGTGGTAAAATGGGTGTCCTTTCAATAATGTTATTTTTGGCATTTAGCATACATTTTTTTTCTCATGTTGGAATTTAATAATTCCTCCCAACATGAAAGGCACTATATAAATGTAATTTTGTTGTTGTTAATAAGAATCTTTGCATAACGCAAGTGGTTTTCGCGTCTGGATGATGTCTCAAAGCGCTTTGATGTCTCAAAGGATATACTGTAAAGGGCAGTGACTGTGTATTTTGTGGGCAAACACAGCAGTTAATTTGTGCATAGCAATGTCTCGCATGAAGTGAGTGACTAATATTATATGGGGGAATGTTGGTTAGGGCACTGAGAGAAATTTCCCTCTCTTTTTGAATAGTGTTATATAGTATATCAAGTATTCTGCATGGATTCTCGATTCACAAGTGTGCCTTTAAAGATTGTATATTCAGTGGTCATGGTATATTACGGTTACATTAAAGAGCTGCTGTGGATAAAATGGGACCCTTTATCTTACTCAAACCACAGATTAAGAATACTAAATGCATTCCCCCACCATTAGCTGAATCTCTACTGATCATTTATTTAAAACAAACTTACTCATCAGCACTTTGTAAACAACTTCAGGCTTAAGTACTTATTTTGGGGGGTTTAAATTATAAATGGTTTAGTTCAATTTGAACATTTCACAAGAGGACGAGTGCATTTAATGGGGACACCGAGTTTTAAAACACTCAGCGAAAGAAGATGAAACAAAAAAGTAATTAGTTGGAGATGTCTCGGAGAATAAACACATCCATCCAACATGTATCCCCTCTCCTGCCAACCGTCTTTCCCTCCTCTTTCTGGATTCTTCCCACTTGGCTCCTGTTAACTCTAAAAGCCAAAGCCTAAAGGGAACAACAGTCCTAGCTGGATAAGATAGTGGGAAGATGTATTTACATTTTACTGGAATGCTGACAAAAAGTCCAGCAGCACAAATATTGTTATTAAAAATAATCCTTGCATTTGATATACTGTAGCACCTTTTATGTCAAGAGGAAGTCTTAAAGAGCCTCATATGATTTACCATAAAGTGCACTGACTACACTTTAATAATAATCCTTGCATTTGATATAGCGCCTTATTACATCTTCGAGACATCTCAAAGCGCTTCACAGAATATATTGTAAGGTAAATTGACTATATTTTGTGAGCGAAATTTAGTAGGTGCAGGACAGGACAGTTAAATACACTGAGATAAATATATAAATGAGCAGGGTAGAAAATAAAAGTCTGTATTTCTATCTATTATAAGGGCAGATAGGCTTTTGATTTGGAAATGAACAACAACAACCAAATTACATTTGTATAGCGCCTTTCATGTCGGGAGTACATCCAAGGCCCTGGACAGACAGAGTTATGGACCCGAGCTGAAGGTCTCGGTGGGGGAGGGCGGGGGGGGGGGGGGGCAAGCAGGGAGATCGAAAGCTCGGTCGAAGAGGAGAGTCTTGAAGTAGGTCTTGAAGGTGGCGAGGAAAGAGGCAAGACGGAGGGACTGCAGGATGGAGTTCCAGAGGATGAGTGCAGAGTGGCAGAAGGCCTGCCCGCCGATAGTGGGGCGAGCAAGGCATATGAACAGTCCCACATTATAAACTGGTACAACTCCACTCCAAACAAACATAGGACAGTCACATCACTTTACAATATATTCTATGCAGCACTTGCTGCATAGGAGTCTCAACGACGTGATTAGCGCTATATCAAATGCAAGGATTATTATTATTATTATTAGGCATAAAGCTCCAAATGTCACAGTACCTCCAATATCCCACTTACGTTAGCTATACTTAACAGAAAAGTACTGATAGAAAGTGAGCATTCCCATTAATAGTTTCAGAATGCGGCCAGACAAGTTCCTGAAAATTAAAGGGACTTTGGGTAATCAGATGAGATAGCCGGGTCTTGTGGGAAGTTGTCTTTGGGATCAAATAGACCGATGGTCTCTTCCTGCCCCTGACAGTCACGAGCATCGTTTCTCCCAAGTTTGTAATCTACAATAATCACTGGATTTTCAGGCTTTTTTTTAACAAAACACTACATCATCATCATCTCTAATTCTCTATATTTTAGACTTTGTTAACATAATCTTTCTTATGATACAATGATGACTTTGAAATCATCTACTTATTTACATGTAAATGTGTAAAGGAGGAAAGAGAATTAGGCCAGAAGCAAAAAGCAGTAAAATACAAGCCAAAATACTGTGGATTAAAATAAATATGCCGTCTCATTATCATATTTAATGTAATTGGCTCACGTTATAACCCGGTGATTTAGGTCCATAAATTCCAACCTCCATTATAACAGATCACATTATAAAGTACCTCAGCACTTCTGGGTAGCAGATCCCCACTGACATCATTAAACTCTCGAGTGTTTCGAGCGGTTGCTAAGGCACCGCCAGATGTCAGGAGAACCTTCCTTCCTGCACATTATCTCAGGAAGCCAGCGAGTCTGTGCTGGAAGCTGAAAGTGTACTCCACATTTAGTATATGATATATATATATGTATGATATATATGGGACATTGCTGTGCACAGATCGATTGCGGTGTTCGCCTACAAAATACATAGTCATTACACTTAAAGTAAAAACCTCTGCAGCACTTTAAAACATATTGATGATGTGATAAGGTGCTATATCAAATGCAAGGATAATTATTATATGAGGGTCTACTGAGCTTGTTTCTCCCAAAACATCTGGACAAACAACTTCCTGCAATTTTGTACTGTTGATTACTAAACAGAATAGCAAGAAATGCACAAAACCTATGGAGTATTCGCTAATTGATAACATTCTTTGAATTATTTTGTCATGGTAAGCCCTTTATATGGTTGTTGAAATCCTTTAGTGCTTCAATAACAAGTGGGAAGAAGCAATTACAAGAAAATAATTTCATCGAGACAGGTCAGACAACATCATGTAATTCTTCCTTTCCACTAACTTTATGAAAAGAATTTATATAGTACAATATTTTGAATGATGTATTGAACCGTTTCATTGTAGAATGCTTTATTTTGATGGAATAGTTTTAGCTGACATTGAAGGCAATCTCTGATGGACAAAGTTGTGACATTACCAATGCAAGATTATTGACAAATTAACCATGCATTTTAGGGTTACCTTGATGTGCATTCTATAATAATATACTGAGAGGTACTATTCACAAACCAATGATGCCTGAATTTTAAGACAATCAAAATTAAATGAGCATTTTATACAACATATGCCAGTGATCGTCTTATTTAGCTGCGCTTAAAAAGATTGCTGTAGTAAAACAGACAATAGCTATCATGTCTAAACAAAATGCTAATACAGTATTTATTTTACCAGATAAAACTGGTAGTCGTCTTCCAGCTATCATGTCTTGTATAATCCTTCTAATTCAAATTTACCTCCAATTAACATGAATTAGCTGCTCTCATCATTTTTGTTCATAGGACACTCCTGGAGCAGATGAGCTGCCACTTTACCTATACAACTTCCACTTCATTTCTAATCAGTTATATTTTTGAGAAGTTTATTTTCCCTACTTTTTGTGTTACTCCAAAACATCGCCAGACTACGGCACTACCTCACGCTGCTGAAACTCTGGTCCACGCCTTTATCACCTCAAGACTGGACTATGGGAACTCTCTCCTCGCCGGCCTTCCCGGCACCTCCCTCCACAAGCTGCAGGTCATTCAGAACTCTGCAGCTCGTGTACTGTCCAGCACCAGGACCACATCACTCCCACCCTCGCTCGCCTCCACTGGCTCCCCATCCCCCAGAGGATGGAATTCAAGATCCTCATCCTCACCTACAAGGTCATTCACGGCCTTGCTCCCTCCTACCTCTCTGACCTACTATTCCCCTACCTACCTGCCCGTACCCTCCGTTCCTCTGGCTCCGGTCTGCTCCACATCCCCCGCCCCAACCGCCCTACCATCGGTGGCCGGGCCTTCAGCCTCTCAGCCCCTAGGCTCTGGAACTCCATCCCCCAGTGCCTACGCTTTGCTTCCTCCCTTTCCTCCTTCAAGACCGGTCTCAAGACCTTTCTCTTTGACCGTGCCTTCAGCTCTCCTCTCGACTCTCTACCCCCTCCTCGCCCCCTCCCTTCCCTCCCCTCACCCTTACCATTTCCCCCCCAATGCTCGGGTCCTGACCCAACTGTACAGCGCCTTGGGACGTCCTCCCGACGTGAAAGGCGCTCAATAAATGGAATCTTGTTGTTGTTGAATCTTGTTGTTATACAAATGTTGTTGTGATTGATATAGTCCCCTTTTCACTTTGGTCAACAGAAGCTGTGGAAAGTTGTAAAGCAAATGTGCAGTCTCGAACATTTATAATAGCATTAAAATAGGATTATTCCAAATTGTAGTTAAGACACAAGGTTGCTTTTTTCTTCACTCTTACCAGAGGAGTACGATGTATGCTGGCCAAGTACTGCAGGAGCCCCTTGGTATGATAAATTGTTGGGTGAATTTCCGGATTAGGGTTTAGCCATTGCCGGTTCAGATCCTCTCCACTTAAAGAACAGCGATGACTTCAGAACAGAAAACAAAACACAGAATAAGAAATTGAAGCCCATTGCATTCTATTGCATTGCATTCTATGAACTATGTTCTATTAATTACAATGTGCAAACCACATGTAAATGCAGTTCATAGAATCATAGAGCACAGAAGGAGGCCATTCGGCCCATTGTGCCTGCTCTTTGAAAAGAGCTATCCAAATCAATCCCTCTCCCCCACTCTCTCCCCATAGTCCTGCAAACTTGTCCCCTCCAAATAATTATCTACTTCTCTCTTAAAAGTTGTTATTGAATCGTCTTCCACCACCCTTTCAGGCAATGCATTCCAGATCCGAACAACTCAATATATTATGTGCTACGTGTAAATCATAACATCTTGCATTTATATATGGCCCTCGTCTTGGAGGGCTTAAAAGTGGCACAGCCAGAGGCAGGGAGGAGGTAACCATCATGTACAAAAACGTGTCCAAAGAAAATTAAAGGTACACTTCTGGAAACACCAATGAATTGGATTGGTAGTTTATTATTTTATAACTTTTCCGTTGGCTAATTCCCTCTGTGCACATTTGTTTACACACAGTTTACACATAATATATAATAAGCCCGCATTTAGATGGTTTACACAAGGTGTATAACATCCTCCACAGTCCGTGTATTAATTATTTCTTTTATAATAAAATTAATACAATAATACATTTGATACAGTGCCTTATAAAGTCAAAATATCTTCAAAGAACTTCAAACAGATTTTTGTAAAGTGTATTGATTGTGCAACTGTAGGCAAAGGTGGCAGCCAATTTACGCATAAGTGTCCCACATATTTTGTGTTGAATACTTGTACCAGAAAACTATCATATTCATAACCAGATTTTCATCCATACACTATTTTTTAAAGAAGGTGCAGCACTAACATTACATGTTTTTAATCAGAATCGTTTCCATTGTTCTTTCCAAAGAAAGTAAATCCTAACAATCTTGTCTATGGCCACCTGTTTTCAGTCGTTTTTTCTAATTATGAAAGTACTGTCAAAGTTTCATTTCAATCATGATCCTATTAATCTTCTTCTGCTCATGAAACCTAGCTCAATTTCTTGAATTTATAGTTATAATAACTTAACCTCCACCCCAGACATGGAATTATGTTATCTTTAGATAGAGTACCCAAATCCACGCATAATATTCTAAAAATGGGCTTGCCAATGATATTTCTTCAGGAGTTAGAATAACTTATTTGACTTCACTTTTAGTCGAGGGCCTTTGCATTCCAGGATATGCATTGGTACGATTTCACATATTATATCTTCACTCACAGAAACTTATTATAAATCACAAAAAGGTAAACTATTTAGAAAATACATTTAAAATACATTGTGATATGTTGTCAAAAAAACTACCTTTTTACTTTACCTTTTTAAAAACAAATTAAATTATTTAGATTTAATGAAAATTGTGAAGTTTATTATACAAGTACACAGCATTTCTTTATCTTTAAAATGGACTTCTTCAGAAAACCCCAAACCAGTGGTTTCTCAAGGATTCTAGGCAAGAGTGATCAAAATATGTGGCAGTTTAACTATGCAATAGGCAGTCTCAGTTAACAAGGAGACAAATATGATCCTGAAAGCTAAATTTACACATTGAAATTTGCTAGTTTAAAGAAACGAATCATCAGATTGCTCAATTGAACTACAGATTTCATATCAACCAAGCGTTGGTAATAGAGCAACATGAGCTAGAGTTACGCTGCTGGTTAGACATCTTAATTTCTGGAGGCAACTTTTATGCAAAGCCCAGGCACTCGAAGTCCAGTTAATATTCTAATGTCACTGATGAGCTGGTGAGATTCATTTCCTTATCAACATTAAACGTAAAGCAACAATATTATGCGTGGATTTGGGTACCCTACCTAAAAATAACATAGTTCCATGTCTGGGGTGGAGGTTAAGTTATTATAACTATAAATTTTTGTAGGATTAGGATTTTTGTAAAAGGTTCATAAAGTTTGCTTTACAGTGCTGCTGTTATGCTGTAAATGGTGTGAAGCCAAAACCTCGAGACTGATTTATTCCAAGTGGACTGCCACTGCTTTCTTTTTAAACTTTGAATTGGGTCCCTTAAAAGTCAATATACTGGTCTGTAAAGATGGTGCTCATTCAATACAAAGATTACATTAAAAATAGCAACTCTATAGTATAAGTGGATTAAGAAATACTACTACCCTGCCTTAATAAAGAACTGCAATTTAAACACACTATCATTGTTAACATCACAAATACCAGATTGCATTGTGAAAGACTGTTTAATATCATGATCTGAATATTTCGCTTCAACTGGTCGAATCCCAAGAGATTCTTTGATCTTTCAATGCAGACATCTGGCAATCTAAAAATCAAACAATCTTTTGTAATCCAATCAGTGATAGCACTATAAAGAATGGTAGGTATATCAAATGAGAGCCAAGTTCAGTGACAGCACAAACTTCCATTTGAAAAATCTCTAGTGCCAGGGCTTTTATCAAGATCTTAAAATTTACTTGTGTGAGTTGCAAATGTAAGTGTATTTGTAGACGGGGGAAAAGGGCTCAGGAAAAAGTGGTCTGCTGAAAGTATTGTGTTATTGAACTGTATAATTGAAACACTCAAAGTGTGACTAAGTTATTTAATCTGCTGCTACTCCAACTACGTATTAGCTGCAAAATATCATTATGAAATGGTTGATTTCATTTGATTTATTCATTGGTTAGATTTTAGGTTTAAATCTTGAAGTAGTAAATAATCTCCCATTTTTAGCAGTCAAACCCAATGTGGTAGATACATGGAGACACATATACATTGAACTATGATAAGAGGATGGTATGAAAGCAAAATGACCAAATAATAACCCTTGCATCTGATATAGTGCCTTATCACATTGTTGAGACGTCTCAACAGAATATTCTGTAAAGTGAATTGACTGTATACTTTTGTGGGCGAAACTTGGCAGCCGATTGTGCACAGTAGTGTCCCACAAACAGTCTTGTATTGAGTGACCAATTTATTATTATTTATGTATTTGTTTTGGGGGGGGGGGGGGGAGAGAACGGATTATTACCCCCAGAAAGCAATCCGCCAATTGACTAACAACCAGGTTCCTAGTTACTGCTAGTTAACAGAGGAGTAAGGAAGGTTGCCTAAGGTTTCACCCCACACTGGAATCGAACCGAGGTCCTCTCGCGTGTTAGTACTCTAACCAATACGCTATAGGACTCCACACCCGGAAGTTGACCATTTTGGCTTCCAATATGATGGAGCTAGCATGTGTATTTTGGAATTTTGGTAAAATAAAGGTTGGAGCCCAAATCCCAATTAAGCTATAAGAAAACCCTTATTATAACAATACGCTTTATAACAGAGTTCTATTATACCTTGTAAAACTTTTGTATTTATAAAACTATTGCAAAGTAACATAATGTGGTATAAAGAGACTCACCTTCCATTAATAACACCATCTGGGTTTAGCATGGGGATAATTTTGAAAATGTAAGAGTCCCGTAAGCTTTGAGCTGCCAAGCTGTTGCTCATTAAAAACTCTAGGGTGCCCTTCATCACCCAACTGGAGTTGCTCTCTCCAGGGTGCACACGAGACGAAAGGAAAATGTAAGGCCGGTTTCCTGCAGAAGATTGTTTTAAAAAGGAATTAAGTACTTGAGTACACATACCTGCATTCTTTCACTGTGATTTACAGAGAAATGCACTAAATTCTAATTAATAATAATCATTACATTTGATATAGTATCCTTCACGACAGGAGGACATATCAAAGTTATTAGAAGTTTCTGCCCTTACAACACAATTTAAACATTTCTTGCATTTCTAAAATGCAATCTTTTACATGGTAAATACAAGGATTATTATTGTACAATATCAGTTTATTCATAAATGAGCTGTTTTTCTTAAAGGTATTAAGGCAGATTTTTTGAGGTTTAATTTCATATTAGAGCATTAAATAATAATAATCCTTGCATTTGATATAGCGCCTTATCACATCTTCGAGATGTCTCAAAGCGACACTGTAAAGTGAATTGACTGCATGCTTTGTGGGCATAATTAAATTATTAAAGCATAAATAGGATAAAAGCAAACAGAAAGGTTTACGAGATGGAGTACCTAAGTTATTTAACTTATTTTCTAAATTTGTTACGTCTAAAATGTCAGATGGTCTGTGATTCTATGCATTCCTATGTAATTATCTAATTTCAGGAGCAGCTTCATTATAAGGAACATTTTTCCCTAAAATTGCTAATAGACCTATCAAAATTGTTCTCCTGGCTCATCTTAAACAGCAAAATGATGTCTAACGTGTAAATGCATGTGCATCAAACATCATAAGTAAATCATGTGCAACTGTACAAAGAAAATTGCAGGTCCTCTCAACTATGTAAATAATCAATGAAAAGCATTAGTTATTACAATAATTCATAAATCCTTTTTGTTGATTATTCAAGGGCATCTTTAATTTCCTCAGTGCACACATTTACACATGGAGTCTATTACACATACATTTGCAAAACTCGCATAATAATCCTAATTAGTATATTTTTCCAAACTTTTAGCCCCCCCATCCCCCACGCAAAAAAACAAAGCAATTCAAATACCACTTGAGCAAACACAAATCACTTTTCATTTTTCTCAACGTATCTATTTGTTGCTAGAAAAAAAATACAAATCTGCAGGTTACTTCTGCAAAAGATCCAGAAATGAGGGTTTCTTTTGCATAAATAATTTTTGAAACCTGCCTACCCTAACAATATTCTATGCTGAGTAATTTATAGAGAGGTCAAAGAGATAATAATAATAATAAGATGGGTCTTAAGGCAGGGTTTTAAAGATGTAGAGATAGAGATGAAGTGGAGGCATTAGAGGATTGGAGTTCCAGAGAGAGGGGACACAATGACTGAACGATTCACCCACTGCTGTGGGGGAGGGGGTTGAAGAGAGAGGATAGGAAATCGGGTGGGTGGGGTGGTGAGAGGGACGTATATCCTCGTAGTACAGAACCTGTACACTGTGACAGAGCGAGTTCCACAGTATTTCTAGGCCCTGAGGGGAGGCAAACACAGGTTGCACTTCTACTACTGGACGGACAGACACAGATTAAGAACAACAAATCATCCTCTGACTGGGCAAAGGGGCAAGGAAGAAAAATAGAGGGTGGAAATCTAAACAAGGGATCAAATTGAAAACTTTTGAAACTGTTTACATTCAGAATTCTCAACTCGGCATGGTTTGAAAATAATCTGAGAATGTTTCAGGTTTCTATAAGCAGCCAACATATACAAGGTCTTAATCAGTGCACAAACCCACCTATGTATTGCTCGATTACAGAATTAAATAATACAATTATATGATGGGTTATGTCCAAAATACATTTACAATTATAATGAATAAAACATCTTGATTACTCACTGAACTGACAAATGTGTTCCCAGTGCTTAGACTCTGGCATGGAAGTGATGGTCAGTACTGGGCAAGGATTACCTCCTAACGTTTCACACAGTGAATCTTCTTGTAAATAGATCTGCTGAGGATCATGTAACGCTTGCAGCTTTTGAATGTGCATCTGTGTAAACAAAAACAAATGTTTAAATATTTTGTCATTACGGTGTGGGGAAACTCAGGAATGATGACCTATAGTGTAAGAAACCTAGAATAATCTCTTTACAATAAGTTTTTACTCTGCATTTTCCACCTTTATTAGAGACTGTGCTTATCCAGGTATGTAATGACAGCACCGTCATTCAAACACGTTCTCTGGCACAAAGAAGTCCCTGTTGTTGGGTGTGGCCAGATATCAGTAAAACTGGGGAATCTCTCATTAGAGATAGCTTTTTTTAAAAAAAATCATTTTCCAAATCAATATACAAATATCAAAAACACTGACCAAATTTGGGGAGAGAGGCTCAGAAACTAGAATCCTATACTGTCAGTAGCTAAGAGGTATTAATTACATAGTGAAACAGTACGAGAGTCATCAATATACTAAAAAACAAGCAATACAAACACACAACTTGAATTAGAAAGAGAGCTATTGAGAGATGGGAATTGGCTACAGGCCTCAGGACAATCAAGAATCCCCACAGAATCTGCTGGATCCAAGGAGAGATCAATGAAAGAGAAGAAATCCAAAGATACTACACATTCCAAGAGGGTGTAGGAAATCAACTTTGAGGACGTGCAAGGGCAACAGTCCAAAGGCTCCAGACCAGTCAGCAGAGAACATTAATTATCCGAGAGTGCAAACAACACAGTTCCATTTTATAACCATATTTTCCTTTTCGCCAAGTGGATAGTTTGAATAGAAAACATTTTTCCCTCTCCCGCCAAATTGGTTTTGCATTTCTGTACATGCAGGCTTGAAATTCCAGCATGATGGAGAGGTTTAAAGTTTTAATTTGGGAAAACACTAATGGTGTATAAAACAGGTAACCGCATTCTGAAGGATGTGATTATTTTGCCCATTGTTCTACTTCTGATTAATGATTGAAAGGTAAATTAGATTTAAACCACATTGTACACACATTACCTGTAAGGTAGAGTAGGTATATGGGTAGTGGTAAGCAAAATAACACACATCATCCTTGTGAGAAAAATTCACTGTATATGTCAGAGTGTAATAAGACTTCCCTTTCTGACCCCCAGCTGCCATTGAACTTCTAGAAAAATGATTCCTATGGAAGAAAAGTAAAATTTTGTTAGAATTCACCCACAATTCACAGTACCAAACTTGGGGTGAGCACTTCACTCGCGCAATTTGAGATGTGCATAGAAGGGGATTTTTTCCCCGATTAACCAGGCCACCAAAAGGAAGACAATACTTAATTCCTAGTAGAGCAGTATTCCAAATGCTGTTTGGACTAAATCAGATCTGTACATGGTTACATTTCAGACAAAAACAACTCGCATTATTTAATGCCACACATGTGAGATAATGCCATGAACTGCTTAATAATTTATATGCAATATATTTCACATCAATGTTTTTCCACAGCTAGTTGCTAAATACACTTAATCGCCAGCTAAATTTGGAGATTATTTTTAACCACAAATCACCAAAAGCTTAGTCCTGGATCTCACCTTAGGGATGCAGAAAACCTTTTACGTTTAGGAACGTCTACATGCTTCATTTTAACCTGAATAGTGGCTTTGCTTGAAGAGAGACAAAAAAGACTAAAGAGCCCTCATCTCAAAGGAGATAAACAAAGTAACCTCAGAATGATAGTTTGACATGCCAAGGCAGTAGAATAAAGGCTAAGATTCAAAACAATAATAATAATAATACGTATTTGCATAGTACTTTTAAAGTTCAGATATGTGATGGATAATTTTAGGACAAACATACGGAAAATGTTAAGATTGGTTTTCTCGAAGGCTGTGATCAAGTGGGCCCTCACTATGTAGATAGCAGGTACCAGAAACTTCCTGCAAGTTTCTTGGTGAGCTGCACAGCTCAGCATGGAATGTGTGAGAACATCATCACTGTCCTGCTGTCCACAGAAATGCATCTGCCTCCATAGTGGTCAACACCAGACCAGTGTAGGCCAGAGCTTTTTCTCCCTCCCTGCAGCCGCTTTCCCTAGGCTTGGAGCTTTGAGGTGAATCAATACCACGTGCAGAAATATCTCAATAAATTAACTAGCTTTTAACTTCCCCCCGTTCCCTGTATAGCTGCTGTTCATCAAATATCAAAAGGCACTTTTCCCACAATACAATTTATTTTTTTAAAAAGTCTAAAGGTGATTTATAGAGATGAGCCCTGTATTTTAAATCAATATTCTACATTTTTATGTTTAAGCTTTGGTAACAAATTATTGTTCACAACATGCAATACCTATTTTAATAATTTACAATATCACAATTTGCCCCCTAGTGTTAAGTAACAATAGCTTCAATTTCAAAGTCTTGTGCATTACAGCTTCCGAGTCCAGTTTGCGCAAGGAATTTAATCTGAATTTTCACAGCCTACCTTTAATTGCTCCAGTTATATTTACATTTGTGAAATTAACAACAAAAATCACCATATAATTGTTTTCCTATTGGTATATTATCTTCATCCAATATTCTTCTATCTACCCATCGCTCTTTACGTGCATTCTATAACACTATTGTTCATTACTCTCCAACTGTGAAACTCATTCAAGCTCCCCAACTGTTACAAGTTTAGTCCAAGATTTCCTTTGGCATTGTGTACATTAAATAGTTTCCTCGTTTCTTAGAATTGGGTTGCAACAGACCACAAAGTACAATTTTTCTAAAAAAAATCCATGTAAATAGCAGTTATTTTGTGAAAAGGTCCCAAAAACAGGTGAATGATAATTTATTTAGATAATTGGTTCGGGTGCTTGGAGAAATTCAGAAATGAAAGTCAAGAGAGTACAGTGCTCTGAACTCCACGATCTGAGTCTTCATACAGTTATGGTCAGAACAAGGAGCAAAAGATTTGATAATTCGGAGACATAAAGTAGCCTTTGTATGAAATCTATCCCTGACATCCATCTTAAAGTCAGTGTTGAACATAATTCTTCGTTGGAGAGACAGCAGTCTCAGATTTACAGAACTATTTATATAATTATAAAAAGTATAAAATAATCCAGGAAGGATCACAAAGAAAAGTACCATTCCACACACCGCTGAAATGGCTCAGTCCTCTCACCTCTTGTGCCGTTCAATAATATCTTACAATTATACAGTGCTTTTCGGTAAGTCTGAAAGCACATTACAGAGATTAAACAGAAATGAAGTGAATGTTATGTAAGACCATATGGTTGTTAATTTGCAAAAGCAATATGCTACAATGAGTTGCCAATTAATTTGAAATGGCAAGGGGGGAACTCCATTTCACAGACCCTTCCCCTTGCACCCTCCCTTGCCTCCTTCAAAACCCTCCTCTTCGACCGTGCCTTTGGTCACCCGAAGTACACATACTTACTTGTAGTAACAGATATCTGTTCCTGTGCGAATCCACTGTGGGCTGCCATTCAAGGCTGCCTGAACAGAGTACATTAATGGATGCATACCTTTAAAACAAAAATAATAATTACTAACAACACTAGAATCCAGTTGAGTAAAATACCAAACATAACGGGCAAGTTTCAGTGCCAGCAAATTACCAAGACTTTATAGCTATGAGGTTTAATCTCTAGTTTCTCTACCACGTTTGTCTACAAAATACAGGCACCATACTTTACAGAAAATCCTGTGAAGCACTTTGAGACATCATCCTGATGTGAGAAGTACTTAAAAAAAAGTGAAAAATGAAAAAAATAAAATAAATTCGATATTCAATCCACAGTTGTTTGTGGGACACTGCTGTGTGCAATTGGCTGCTGAATTTCGCCAACAAAATATGCAGTCAATTCAATTCACGAAAATATACAGTCAAGTCAATTCAGTATATTGTGTGAAGCACTTTGAGACGTTTCGAAGACATGATAAGGCACTATATCAAATTATTCCTATATCAAATATAAATTTAATTACATTGCTAGTTATATTTAGACATGGCTTGTGATGTGAGAGCAACAATAAAAAGCGACAACCTGGCTGATTTGGTAGCACTCTTGCCTCTTAGTCAGAGATTCTGGGTTCAAGCCCCATGTCATGACTTGGGTCTCATATAGTCTAAGATGACACTCAAATGGATTTTTGAAGGTGCCATGCTTTGGATGAGACGTTAAACCGAGGTGCTGTCTGCCTGTTCAGGTGGATTTTAAAGATCCCATGGCATATTTCAAAAAGAAAGTTTCTCCCAATGTCCTAGTTGATTCTACGTTTATTGTAAAACAAATACAAACAAGTCTTAAAGTGAATTCGTAACAGCAATTTTTTAAATAATTTGTTGTTTTGTTCCAAAATAGCCAACATGCATAAACACTAATTAGAAATAGAAAGATTTATATATTTGTTCATCAGTGTAATTATAATAATAATCCTTACATTTGGTATAGGACATTATTAAGTCATGTTATCGTGTCGAGAATATCTCAAAGCATCTCAAAGGTTCTGTAAAGTGTAATGACTTGACTGTATTTGTGGGTGAACAAAGCAACCGATTTGTCTCACAAACATCTAAGAAGTCAATTTTATCTGGAAAATTGTTGGTCAGGACACTGGTCAGAAACTACCTTCTCTTTTTGAATAATGAACAGGCAGATGGGACCTCAACTTAACATCTTATCCTACCTGAAGCAATGCACTGCAATGGAGTGTCACCTAGACTATAAACAGAAGGTCTTGATGTGGAGATCAAACCCACAACCTTTCTGACACAGCTGAGCCAGACTGACACCCAAATGGATTGTCTGCTTATTACCTACAACATACTACAACAGTAAAATAGATTTTAAAAAAAGCTGTTTCAAGTCATGGAAAGTGAGTAGGTGCTATGAGTTGTAAAATAAATTTCACTCAAACGTGAAGCCAACAACTTCTCAAGCAATATTGCCTCATGCAGAGTTTCTTCTAAATCAACTATTGTGACTATATCTTGGCTGGACAGTTTGTCTGCTGTGTGTAGACGTCATGAGTGCAGTATTTTACATTCCAACCCTGTAATGGGATGTACAGGCAAGCTGAGGTGCCTGCCCACCCATCATAAGAAAACACATGGTGGATAGCTTAACTTGTCAAAAATAGGTCTTCTTGATGGAATACAATTCTTGAAAGATAAATTTCTCATCTTTTGCTATTAATTAAAAAATGCACTCTTGATATAAAATTCAAAAATAATTAGTAATAATGACAGACCTTTTTGCTTCTTATAAAAGCATTCAAAACAAAGAGTTTTTATTTATAAAACAATACCGAATTTAGTCTCTGCTATAATTTGATTTAGACCTAACAGCTATAAGTGTTTAGAATTCTGCTACCTAGTCATCAAGTAACGTGACTGGTTTATTGCTTTGAGACACAGACACGGCTTTACACAGTACATTTAAAATCTTCCCTGGATATGTTTAGGCTTCTCTGGATTTGGAAAAAAAATCAGCAAACATTGATATTAGTTGTTTTTCTGAAATATTCTACAGTCTGACACAAGTAACTTTTTATCAAGAAAAATAGATTTCTTTAGCAATACCAGAAGACGGAGAATTACGCAAAAAAAATGAATTAACACGTTTTGGAGCTTTACAAAGTTAGTTGGGTCACAGTTGTGCAACAACAACAACAAATTACACTTCTATAGCCCCCTTCATGTCAGAAAGATGTCCCAAGGCGTTGGACAGTCAGGGCTTTTGGACACGAGGGAGAAAGAGCCTAAACTCCCCCATCACTCAGAGATACAGTTCAAGATCCTAGTCCTCACCTTCAAAGTCCTCCACTGCTTCGCTCCTCCATACTTCTGTGAACTCCTGACCCTCTACCAACCTGTCCGCTCCTTCCGCTCAGCGGGCTCCAGGTTGCTTCATGTCCCCCGCCTTGCCCGCCCCACCATTGGCAGGTGGGCCTTCAGCCTCTCTGCCCCCACCCTCTGGAACTCCATCCACAGTCCCTCCGCCTCACCACCTTCCTTGCTTCCTTCAAAACCCGTCTCAAGACCCCTGCTCTTCGACCGTGTGTTCGGTCACTATCCTACCCCCCCCCCCCCCCCCCGCCCTCCACTCATCCTGATCCCAACCACCAGATCGGTCGTCCTCCTGACATGAAAGGCACTATACAAATGTTGTTGTAGTTTGAATGATTCACAATGGGAGTTTAAAACGCTCACTTTTACTGAGGCAGCAGAAGAGCCCCAGGTGTTTGACTGAATATTATGATTGTTGATTTGCCTGTTTTTTACCCACCAAGTATGAAAATTCATTGAAAAAAAACTTATAAAAAGTGAAAAATAATAATCAGCAGCCAATGAAAATCAAAAAAAATTCCAATAACCCTGCGTATATAATGCAGATTCCAACTTGCTGGTCATTAGAACTGACCGGGTGAAGAGCACTATATTAATGCAAGTGCTACCAGTGCTGTTTTTAGCTGCACTAAATTACCTTGCTTGAGTTTCAGTGTACTACTCTGTCCGCCTCCCACAATACTATCTGGGATCAGAAAAATGCCCACACATTACAAGACCGCACACACTCTTCTATGCTTGTTAACATTTAGACTCATGTAGCACCTTGAGGCTGCATACTCCACAGCACTTGGTGTTCCACACATGCAGAGATGCATCATCAATAGATGTAAAAACGTTTGTCTTGAAGCCTGCGGGAATTCCCTTTACATAAACGCTATGATATTTGAAAATGACTCACTGCCCAGTCATCCTACTGATACAGCATTATTGACTTATTAAATGCTTTACCCAAAACATTAGTTGAATGATTGACAGTATCACTGATGAGATAAATACCTTAAATCAACCAAACAAGAAACAGTATTCCTCCGCCCCCCCCCACAACCCACCCCCACAACCAACAGTGTTAGACAATACATCAGATTGTAGCTCATTTACAAGAAAGGAACAACCTGTAATTCAGTCTACTCTAGGGAACAAAAATACTCATCACATCATGCAGTTCAATTTCACTTTCTCATGCAATTCATCATTTTGTTCACCTCCACTGAATTTCAACAAAACATTATTACGCACTAATTACTTCTCAGCCAAATTGGTGAACTGGGTGCCTAAAGGAGCAAACACAAATCTACCTACTATTGAACACCCTTACACATCCCTAAAATTATTATCCTAATGCTTATAAACGACAACTTCCAGGTTTGCCTAGCTCCATTTTTATTTTTTAAATTTATTTATCCATTTGGCTGCACATTCACCTTTGCTGGTGTCAATGGTGGAAAAATGGCATCTGAGGTCATGTCTGGTGCCTGATACCCTAACAAAAATACCAAAAAAGATTGGCATTTCACATTGTTGATTTATGCTTAAAGTGACAAACAGAAGCCCACAGCACAGCCAGCCTGGCTGAACAGCAGGACTTGGAAGGGCAGACCAGTCACTGGAGGCAGAGAATTATCCCACTGTTAACCCTGCAAGCCAAAGCACTAACGGGTATGGTGGTCCTTGATAGACAAGCAGCGAGGAGGCTTGCCAGACATATCAATGGTAAGCTTTGCTGTTTTAGTTGGTTGGTCTCCAGCAGTACCTCAATGCACACTCTGGGGTCCCCAAGCCTTGACTCTTACCAACCTGCACCTGATTCTTTCTGGAATTAAGTAAGCAGGATACATCCCTCCAGGGAGAGAGTGCACATTCCATTCCAACAATCTATCTCTGGGATTTCCATGTGTAGGTGGGATGCATGGAAATCTCAGCTTGGTTTGGATACTCTTAAGCATGGTGATGGGTTTCCACATGTCAAGACATGCTCACAAATGACTTAACAGTGATATATGTATTGATGATGTGGAATCTGAGTCAGGGAATGTGAGAAATAACCAGGTGGCCTCAGTAGCCAAAGCCCTCTTGCTTCCCTCCTTACTTTTTTCCCCCCATCACTGGTAGGTGCAAATAAAATTACTGAATCTTGGTACAGAGGTGTTGTTGGTCCTACTAGTCCTGTTGGTGGTAGGGCTGCCACTGTCTTCACTTTCACTGCCACCATTTCTAAAAATAACAGTTGCATGGAGGCAATGATTGATAAGACTCAGGCTTTACTGCCCATCAATACAAAGTGCAGGGTAGGGCAAGGCAGGCAATCAAAACTTTTTTTTCCTTAGCATTTCAAGCTTTCAAATTTCAGACAAATTTGGAACCTACTCTCACTTATCAAGCTGGTTTTCTGTAGAAAACAAGCTGAAAAATTCAGACTGAATTGTCCAAAATTTGCATGCACTGATTCCGGGAAAAAAGTTGATAATCTAACCTCAGGTTGAATTTCTTCAACGAGGAGAGTGGGACAATTTGCTCATTATTTGCCATCCATATCCATGCAGGCTCCGACTGCAGAAGCAGCAGGAACGAGGAGAGCGCGTGCTATTTCTAATGCATTTCTACTTGACAACTGGAGATAACAAGTAAACAAGGTGGGCAGTCAAAACACACAAAATATGTTACCATAGTTAAATTGACTGTTGGACTTCTCACAGTTGATGATGTTGAATCGGTAAGGAGTACCACTTCGCATTCCACTCACTTCAAAGTAAAACCACTGATGATGGTGGTTACTGTTGATGTCAGAGTTGAGGATGAGGTCATACTCAAACCTACCATACACAAGAGGCAAAAGGCAATAAAAACAATGAGGTCCTAGGGTCGAAAAACAAAAGCATCCTCGCAACATATAAATAATTAAGGCCTAGAATTTAAACCATTATGTGATCCAATAGTCTTCAGACAATCAAAAACAACAATAACATGGATGAAACATCAGGGTGGGAAAAGCAATGGTTTTCAACACAATTTCACATTAGTGACTCAAAAGCCCTACTAGGTGATCCTTTTGGTAACCCAACTGTTACACCATTCCTCTTACAACAGCATACTGACAGTTATCAGTAGAATTCTCTATTTACAAATGAATCGCTATTTATTGAATCCTGTTGTGATCCATTGTTTTTTGACCTTTGCGTGGGGCAATACGTATGATTCTCCATACAAGTTGCTGTCTCGACGAGAGTTTGAAGAAAAGAGGTTGCGAAACACTAAGAGTTTTTGGTGGTTGGCTCATTACAGATGTTTGGGAGCAGGTGACTTACCCAACCTCAGTTCAATAATGTGGTATTGATCAAATAAATTGTGAAAATAAATGAAAATTGGAGAACATTTGCATGTGAGTGTGCAAAGAAAGATTGCACAGCTACCAGACCAAATCTGCAGGAGCCTGTAACCAATTTACAGAGGTAAGTTCATCTCAGGAAAAGGTTTGCATTGAGACAATTGTAGCACAGTTCAGAAATTTTGCTATCACTGTTGGCCTATTGTGAAAGTGTTGGATGGACCTACATCTGTAAGATTTGAGCAGCAGCCTTCGAATGGGTGGAATTCAAGTTCCAAATGCCACTTTAACATTTCAAAGTTGCACATATTAGCAGTATGCAGTATCAGTATCCCTCACCAGTATTGCTTTCTTCCACCTCCGACGCATCACCTGTCTCCGCCAATACCTCTCTCCGAAAGCCACTAAAACCCTGTTCCATGCCTTTGTCACCTCTCGGCTGGACTATTCTAACGTCCTCCTCCCGGCCTCCCATCCACTGCCATCCATAAAATCCAGATTATTCAAAACTCTGCCGCCCGCATTCTCACCCGCACCAAACTCCGCTCCCCGATTACTCCAGTCCTTGCCAGACTGCACTGGCTCCCTATCCCAGAGAGGATTGACTTCAAGATCCTCACCCTTGTCTTCAAATCCCTCCACTCCTCTGCACCCCCCTACCTCTCTGACCTCCTCTCTCCCCAAAACAGTACCCATTGCCTTCGTTCCTCCGGGTCTGGCCTCCTCCTTGTCCCCCGAGTCTTCCACTCCACCCTCGGCGGCCGTGCCTTCAGGCACTATGTCCCGAGGCTCTGGAACTCCCTTCCTCACACCCTTTGAATCGCCCCCTCTCTTCCTATTTTCAGGTCCCTGCTGAAGACCTTTCTTTTCGACCGCACTTTTGGTCACCTTCCTCCCTCTCCCCCTGGCTCAGCCCCAGGATACGTTACTGTGAAGTGCTCTGAGATGTCGTCAGGTGTGGAGGGCACTATATAAATCCAAGTTGTTGTTATTGTATAGGGTGCATGCTGAGAAGGGTTGAAAGAAAGATTTCATGTTGAGAAGGGTTGAAAGAAACACTGTTCAGAAAGAGCCCTTCCAACCCCATTCAAGAACAATAGGCTGATGAGTACTAGCCTTGATGGCATATATGAGATGACCATCTGCGCATTTCTGTGCAGTTGATTTGTTTGAAGTAGAGGGCACAGCAATTGTTGCAGCACATTAAACAGTTTAATCTTATTCTGCTTATAAAAAATCATTTGTTTGTTTAAAAAAGAAACTCTTCAAACTTACTTTCGGATTTGAATTGCTTTTCGTAGATTTCCAGATTCAAATCGTGAATTGAACCTCAGAGTGTCTCCATCTTCAGTTAACGGATAGCTGAGTGAGAGAGGGGGGAAGACATCAAGTATATAATTTCAACATCAGAGATAAACTTTAACTTTTGAAGTGGAAAAATCAGCAACGATGAGCCAGATTTTATTAAACAACATGCACTTATATAGCGCCCTCCATACAAGTTACGCATCTCAGAGCACTTAGCAGTGGTAGAGCCTGACACTGAGGGGGGTGACCATAAGCAGGACCGAAAAGGAAGGTTTTCTAGCAGGACTTGAAAAAGGGGAGAGAATGGGCAAGGGGGAGGGATTGAGAGGGAGTGTTCCACAGTTGCAGGGCGAAATGACTAAAGCGCGACCTCCAATGGTGGAGCAGAGTGTGCAAGGAACAAGTAGGAGGCTGGCATTAAACTCACCTTATTAAATCAAGATCATATACAATCTTATCTATGACATCATTTGCATGAATCAGTCTCTCGATATCTTGAAATATTTTGGTCCTGTAGCAGAGAACATTTATTTATTCAGTTCTTACCGATAATTAACAACAACTTGCACTTATATAGCGCCCTCCACGCAAGGTAGCATCTCAGAGCGCTTAACAGTGGCGGAGCCTGACTCCGAACCGGAGGGGGAAGTGTGGGGGGAGAATCAGGAAGGTTTTCAGGCGGGACTTGTAACAGAACAGGACAAAGTAGAATTCAAAATAAAATGTAGTTATAAAAAAAAGTGATCACTCAATCCACGACTATTTGTGAGACACTGCTGTGTGCAATTGGCTGCCGCATTTCACCAGAAAATATACAGTCAATTCACTTTACAATATATTCTATGAAGGCTTTGAGACGTCTCAACAACACGATAAGCCACTAAATCAAATACAAGTATTATTAATAGGTAGTTCTAAGGAAGGAATCCATCAAATATTACCTTATCTTCCATGAACAAATTCACAGAACGAATGGATGGATTTAAATTTTTAACAAATACTTAATTGTTAAGTGAATATTTTCTTCAGGTTTAACTAAGAATGTTGCTCACATTAAAATGCTGTACTGAAAGGAACCAGTGACAGGGTACGAAAAGATTCATTGCAAATTCTGACCATCTCCACTGAAATCAACATCCATGCTCAAGTCCTTCACTTAGTTAATGATTGACAACAACCTTGCAGAGACATTTATTTGTATTTTATGTATTAATGTACTTATTGAAATAAAGTCTGAAAAATAGTGTGGGGGGGATTGTAGCTTGAATGAAATTCAAAAATTCAACAAAAGTTTTTGTTCCTTCATACAAGAAGAAATGGGTTTCTAACTGTAACAATGTCCCATAAATGGACTTGTTGAATCTTTGAAGGTGGTTCAATCAAAACTATTCAGTTCAATTGCAATATATTGTGTACTTATATTTCAATACTGAAATACACTTGAGACAGGCTTGCTACAAACAACTGGCTCAAAAAGTGAAGGTAGTTTCTCCCAGTAATCTGGCCAACAATCCCCATAAATAAAAAAAAATTGTTCATTCACTCCATGGCTATTTTTGGACATTGCTGTGCGCAACTTCCTGCCGCATCTCACCCACAAAATACACAGTATATACTGTGAAGCGCTTTGAGAAATCTCAATGACTTGATAAGGCGCTATGTCAAATGCAAGGATTATTGTTATGGATGCCAACTCTGACAGCAAAGAAGAACAGTAAATATCACATCACCAGCTTAATGCAATGCTCACCTTTGTACACCATAAGGTCTTTCTATGAGAGGCTCCTTGAATGGTGGTGGAACATGGCCAAAATAATCGGGATACGCCACGTCAGTGTATTCAGGAACAGATTTAGTCTTTTTAACAATTTCAATGTAAAGATCAGGATCATTCAGTGGTTGCAAGTTCCCCGAGTCTGTGACCTCTAAATATCCATGTTCCCCCGAAGAATTTGAAGAGGACTCATCCTCAGTGTCTATGCCAGTGCAACACAACTGGCCCAGCTGGGTACCAACCTGCCGCCAAGATTGCGGGTCACCAAACGAGGAGGTGAATAAAGACTTTCCACAACCTGAAAGGTGCTGACACGTTTGGCTGCAGGCTTGCCCCAATGTCAAAAAGCTGGGTTTACTCTCCTTTGCACTCACACAACCATTGTTATAATACTTTGCATTTCCAAATGCACTATTATAGTGCAAGGACATACTGTTCAATTTTTTTGTGATCTCATTGTCCTGGTATTGTGAAGATGTCAATGTATCTCCATTTTGCTTAGAGCAGTGCAAGTTAGCAGCATTGATACTCTCTTTGCTTTGCTGGTTTATAGGTGTTTCCAATTCATTGCCCTGCACAGGTGCTTGGCAAGCATTGGATACAAACAGCTGTCCAGCCAGCCTGTCCTTATCTTCAGCAGGAGCTCTCATCACACTATCTGCAGACAGTTCCTCTCCTGCCGTAGGTACGACAATAGGCCCGGTCAGCTTCACGTCAGTTCCTGAAACGTTCGGGCTCATCTTTTCAGGAAGATCATAAGGCTACAACAAGTAAAATGGGAAATAAAAACAAAAAAGTTATTGAATTATAAAGAGGTCCTTGCACAAGAAGATAACGGCTTGGAACTTGAAAAGGACAAAATGCCTTCTACTTTCACAGGCCATGTCAAGTCTGCCCTTTCATGGACATTACGGACCCATTTTATCTCTTATGGGAATCAGCATAAACAATCATTACCCCCAAAGGTCATTGTGCAAACGTAGACAATATTCATCTCTTACATTCACCCTAGACCTGCTACTCCCCCCTCAAAAGAAATTCCCTTAAAACAGTAGAGTACACCTTTACCATAAAACAACTCAATACCTCTCAGAAGCTCTCTGACACGAGGCACAAAAACTTCTATTCCACCTCTGCGCAACAAGAGATCAGTTCTTAAACACTTTTCTTGCATCCCAAGAGATGCAAAGTCTCCATCCCACCTGATTTTCTGGCACTGATTACTAACCCTTCCTCCTACCCAGAGATCCTTCAAAAGGCAGAATTTCTGTTAAACATCTAAAGTTATTACCACTTCAAAACACAAAGTACAGAGCAATCATGAAAATAAGCACTTGTGGAAAGCCGCATTTCTCCATAAAATAATGCATTTCAGAGCAACATGATGGGTTTGAAGCTCTCAGACTGGAATTAAATACCCGGCTCCAACACAAGATTGTCATGAAGCAGAATTCTCTACATTCAGTGCCAAGTAAATGGAGTCCCTAAGGAGACCCAGACACTTTTCCTGGCGTTGGTGCCTTTTATAGTGCAGTTTTCCTGCTCAAGCAATCTTTCAATCCTAATGAATGATTAACTACCTATTTGCTTTTTTTTAAAAATTAAGATACATCATAGTAAGCAATTGGTATAAATAAGTCAGGCTCAACCTAAATGTAAAGGGATTTTGAGGAGCTTTCAAATCTTTCCCAAGAAGTACAACGGAACCCTGTTATAACAAGCTCACTATCACCCTGGTTCACTTATACCACGATTGGAATGAACACACTGACAATATACTTAGCAAATAAATCCACCCGCCTGACTCCAATAACTCTTCAAAACGTTGATTGGCACATAGAACGCCAACCAGATGCTCCACATGTTGGCTATTTTGGCTTCCCATTGACTACACAATGGACGATTTCTGTGTCAGCAGGTTGCCACTGAGAGCACTTCCTGTGAGCTGCTGATGAAGCCAGACCTCTTTTTGCGCAGATGTACAGTTAAAGATTCGATGTCTGATATTCATGCCCGGTTTTAGCGCAGGATGGGATTTTATGAACCCCCAACTGCCAAGTTAAAATGGGGCTCTATTATCATACGGCATATACAGTCATAATGTGACTCTCCTTTGCCAAACAATCTCTTAACTTCATTCTGCCAAGTTTAATCAGGGGTTAAATTCAGCATAAGGGCAAAGAATATGGACATCGAGCACATGGCCCTCTGCTGACAAGGGTCTGAAATTAAACTCTGAGTGTGCATTCCATTCCAACAATCTCTCTCTGTAATTTCCATGTGCATTTGGGATGCATGGATTCTCAGTTTGGTTTGGATACTTTTAAGAATGGTGCTGGGTTTCCGCGTGTGCCAAAAAAAAGTCTGTGCAGTAGCAACAGTTTCCCTTGATGGGGCAATGACACCTGCAGATTGAATCGTTGATAAGCTTTCTTGAGAGAATAAAGTGTCTTAAGCTATAATTTGTAATGTGCGAGAATTGTAAAAACTCCATTGTAATTAACAACAATACTTCTTTTTAAAAAATCAACCTATCCTGAACTCACTACAAAACAGGCTTAATGAGGTCTATTATTTTACTGAACCAATTATACCTGAGATGCATCTCAAAAAAAGATTGGACACGAGAGAGAATGAAATTCAAACAAATAGAATTTCAAACAAATAGGATAGGCCTGAAAATTACAACTCTCCAATCCACAATGATAATAAAAAAAGTTAAGCACAATATATTAAACAAACAAGGATCTAGAAACTGGGCTGGGAGCATAGACTTGGATCAAACAACAAGTCAGTTTAACAAAAGAGATATATGGTGTCCCCTCTACTTCTTCCAATCAGTGACTTTTCAGCAGTATCAGCTATCACAAGTACCACATCACTTGCACTGTAAAATAAAATCATACCCCTGACCACCAACACAGGAAGTTTTCCTTTCTATCAATCACCAATGTTTCTATTTGGTGAACAAAGATGAATGAACGGAGAATGGCCCTAAGGTTTGACAATGGTACTGTCAACACATAGTGCTCTGTACGGATGTCATCTAATGAAAGACAGTGTACAATGTAAAAGAGCAATTAGTTATATGATGCAAAGAGTTTGAAATGCCAGGTTACGTCCAAAATAGGAGAATCAAGATTTTCACTGTGACTCTTATTCTGCCATATGTTCTCTCCCTTCCTCTTCCTGAAGGAACATGACTCTCGTTTTCTGCTGCTAAAATACAATTCCATTTGACCACATGAATCTCATCCAATGAGCCATTTGTATTCATGCCTGGATAGTGAGCAACGCCAGACTACTCAACTGCAGGCTTCTCACTGGACTCCCACACGCACTCCCACCTTTCAGCAGAGAACGTCGATTTAAACCCAGGCTGATTGATGCCTTTCAACAAGGAGAAAGCTAAGGCCAATTGTACACCCTGCTCTCAAACTACCGCCCCATCTCCAGCCTCCCTTTCCTTTCCAAGGTCCTGTAACGAGTCGTTGCTTCCCAGCTTCACTCCTTCCTCTCCCACCACACCCTTCACAAACCCCTCCAATCGGGTTTCCGTGCCGCCCACAGCACAGAAACAGCTCAATATCTATATGCTCCCTCTTGGTGACATCACCCGAGGCTGGGGCAACTTCCACATATATGCAGATGACACCCAACACTGCCTCCAACTCTGACTCCAGAACCACTGCTGTGCTGACAGAATGACTGTCAGACATCAAGTCCTGGATGAGAGCTAACTTTCTTCAGTTGAAAGTCAACAAGACCGAGGCTCTCCTGATTGGCTCCCGTCAGTGCCTCCACACTTCAGGCACTGACAGCATCACCATTCAAGGATACACACTCCACCTTGCTAAGCCAGTCCAAAACCTTGGCATCTTGTTTGACCCTAACTATCCTTTCTACCCCACATCTGTGTCATGACCCGCTCTGACTTCCCCCACCTCCGCAACATCACTCGGCTCCGTCACTGTCTCACCGCAGACTGCCAAAACCCTCATACACGCATTCATAACATCCAGTCTCGACTATGCAAACTCCCTGCTTGTCAGCCTCCCCAAAGACTCCCTCTATAGCCTGCAGATCGTCCAGATCTCTTTAGCCTGTGTCCTCTCCCGCACCAGGCTCTGTGACCCTATCACCCCCATCCTTACCTGACTCCACTGGCTTCCCATCACACAGATGATACAGTTCAAGATCCTGGTCCTCATCTCAAAGCCCTACATTGCCTTGCTCCACCCTACCTTTGCGACCTCCTAACCCCCTACAAACCTGCCCTCTCCCTCCACTCAGTGGGCTCCGGCCTGCTTCATGTCTCCCGCTTCATCCGCCCCACTATTGACGGGCGAGCCTTCATCCACTCTGCCCCCACCCACTGGAACTCCATCTCGCAGACCCTCTGCCTCGGCCCCTCCCTTGCCTCCTTTAAGACCCATCTCAAGACTCTTCTTCGACCATGCCTTCGATCACCCTCCTTCCCCCCCTGCCCTCCACCCTCCCCAATCCCGATGACCAACTCGGGTCCGAAACACTGACTGTCCAGCGCCTTGGGACGTCCTCCCGAAGTGAAAGGTGCTATACAAATGTAATTTTGTTGTTGTTGTATCACAGCTGAGATCAGCTAACTCTGATCTGCATGTGCCATGACCCACTACACAAGGCCTCAGAAGACGTCTCCATTTTCATTTAAATTATTTCAAGCACTGCATCTTTCAAGATGAGAGCTGACAAAATACATGTGTAAAGTGAATCAATGGAGAACAGATGTTTGGGAAATAATTGGGCAAACAGGAAAGGTTCAGTCAATAAGCACTACCTGTTTAACACAAAATTTTTAACACAATAAATCATTATTAAAGAGTGTTGTACATGTTATAGAGCAGGTATTATGCATTTTGCCACTTTCAATGCTATAAGTGGCATCTATTTAGATAGGCATTTGTTAGGTCAGGGTATTATAAGGGATATGGGGCAAGGGCGGGTAACTGGACTTGAGGTACGGAGCAGCCTTGATCTTATAAAATGGCGGAACAGGCTCGAGAGGCTGAATAGCCTACTCCCGTTTCTATGGGGGAGAAGCAGTCAGGTGGTGATCACACTAACAAGATGGAAAGAGAGAGTGTGAACCTGTGCTGCCAAAAGTTTACCCATTGCATTAATTTGACTAACACTACAGATTGGCAAAGTATAAAACCAAGGTACAAATTCTTTGAGCTGTGCTAAAATGTGCAACATTCTACCAATTATAAAAATGAAAATATATCTGGCCACTTATGGCGTTGAAAATGCAAAATGAATATTCTGACCTGCTATATAACATGTAGAACACCCTTTAATAATGATTTATTGTGTTGAAAATTGTGTGTTAAGCAGCACGTTGATAGATTATGCTTATTGAATGGTCATAGCCAAACAAGAGTGATATTACATTTCAAAGTGCAAAACTAACAATAATTTCCAAATTATCTCTGGGCTCATGGTTGTTTAAAGTTTTTCGTTATTTTACCAAATCTGCCACTCCACCTTTAAACGGTTCTGCACTGACCTCTTACCTCCTGACCTTTATTCTGGATGCACGCTAACTTCTTTTCCTGTAGGAGAGTAGCCATTTCCTTCTTCCTATCAACATCTGCACTGGCACACAAGTAGAGCAACTACTTATCTTTCCAAACTGAGAATGATTCAGCTACAACAGGAAAAAGCATGTGCATTTTCAGGATGCAGGATGCATTCTTCTCCTTTGACAGACGTCAAATATTAGCACAAAGCAAGCAGGTCCTCATAGCACGTAGAAACCAGACTTTAAATGCTTGCTGAAGATTCTAAGCAAGGGCCTGTAGTGAAGTATTTTTAGCAAACTTTGAAAATGAGAATCCCACATTAGTATTTGAGAAGCAGCAGTTTAACGAATTTAAGTGAATTTAAACAGAAGTTAAAAAAAAGACCAGAATACAACATTAAAGATGGAAAATCAGCTCTAACTTTTAATAAAAACAAGATATGATGGTACAAGACAAATGTGGACTTAAGTACTATTCACTGTGGAGTATAGAGAGAGTTTTATTAAATGCGCTGCTGATCTCCAAGTGTATTCTGTGAAGCACTTAGAGACATCTCGAAGACATGATAAGGTGCTATATCAAATGCAAGGATTATTATTACCATCATCATCATCATCATCATGACTCCAGCTGTACGAATGCCAGTGTAAGTTGTAAACTGCAAACCTAAACTTAAAGGTCGCAACAGCTGAATGCTGACAGTACAGCCAGTGTGCAAAGATTATTATTATTATAAATCTGAAAAGCAACATACTGTTCAAGCTCTCAGCCTCCATCACTGCATTGTAAGGTATCAGCCTGGCTCAATTGGTAGCACTGTTATCTGTATCAGGCTTGTGGGTTCAAGCCCCACATCTCATGTTGTAACTTTTGAGCTCATAGTCTAGACTCAGACTCCAACGCAGTGTTGGGGGGGTATTGCATTGTTGGAAATGTTATCCTTCAGATGAGACATTAAACCGAGGCCTCATCTGACTGTTTTGGTGATCGTTAAAGATCTTGTGACAACTATTTCACCCAGTGTCCTGGCCAACAAATTCTCAGATTAAATTGGTCATCCACTTCATTTCTGTTTGTGGGCCATTGCTATGTGCAAATTGCCTGTCACTTTCGCCTGACAATACACTTCACATAATTTACTGTAAAGTAATTCTGGTGATGGGATGAAGTGCTATGTCAAATGCAACAATCATCGTAATTATTATTATACTAATAATGTTATGCTGTTCATTATTTAATATGATATGCATAGCCCAATCAATCCTATTAACCATCAGTAGATTAAAAATCATTCATGCTCTGAATACAAATAGTGAACCCGTGGAACAGGCTCCCTAGGGAGACGGTTTCCTTACTCCACATGCCTAATAATAATCCCTCCAAAAAAAAAACAATAATTAAATTGGTCATTTTCAATCTACGACTGTTTGTGGGACATTGCTGTGCGCAATTGGCTGCCGCATTCGCCCACAAATATACAGTCAATTCACTTTACAGTGTGTTCTGTGAAGCGCTTTGGGACGTCCTCCCGACGTGAAAAGTGCTATATCAAATGCTAGGATTATTATTATTATTATTGAAGCAGGAAGTGTTGATTCCTTCAAACACAGATAAGATAGTTTTCTTTTAGGAAATAACATTATGGGATACAGTACATAGGCATCGGGACATACGTGCATGCGACCGCCAGGAAGGTGGAAGGCAAACTAGATGGAGCTTAGTCTATTTTTCGTTAAGCATTTCTTATGTTCTTATGAACGAAATCACAAAACATAATATTTTAGGTAACATACTTGGTATTTTCTTCTGTGTTGACTCTTTGGACTTCCCTCACAACAAGGCATAGCACTCCTGGGCAAGGGAGTGGGCGGTTAACCTACTCCCTATACCACTCCATGACCAGATTCTGACTTTACTTTCAGGTTTACAATAAGTTTGGAAACCATCTGGTCTCTGTCTCTCAGGACAATTGCAATCAGGAATTCACTGAAATTATAGGTATGAATATATAATTATTAGTTAATTATATAATTATGAATTAGATAATTATTTGGGAAGGACAAGTTTGCAAGGCTATGGGAAGAGAATGGGGAGTGGGACTGATTTCGATAGCTCTTTTCAAAAAGCCGGCACAGACAAGACGGGCCGAATGGCCTCTTTCTGTGCTGTATAATTCTATATGTACATATATAAAATATACATCTACAGCAACTCAGTGGAGTCCCAACATATATGGGCTCTGAGCACACTTATACTATTTCATAAACATTTTCATAAACACCCGCTGTAATAACACAGCTCAGAAAGTCAATGATAAAGCCAAAAAGAAATGTAATTGTACAAATCACTGCAATTAAACAGTAAAAAACAAGAAACTGATTTATAAGTTTAAATGACCGTTTGTTTGACCAATTTTAATCAGTGAGAATGAAATACTTTCCCAAAACAGCCGCTGCTGTCAAAATATCTTTTACATATAGAATATGCACACGTATGCGAGCTAATAAAATGCTCTTGTCTGGTGAGATGCACAGATTTACCAACCTATGGAAACATGCCCTGTAGATGTCACTCAAGTGACCTGCAGCACAGTTATTCAATCATTGCGTCAGTTTGCAAGCCCACTGACAGCCAGCGAGGAACCTTACTCTGCATGTGTAGTACAATTACTGAGCATTTGTATTTTTCAACCTGTCAACTTCAATAACAATGCAAAACATTGCCAAATAGAATAAACTGATAAAGTAAGCAGAACAATCCAAGTTTTTTTAATCAACGAATGGTATGATATGCAGCAACTTATTCCGAACCTTCTTTGAATAATCAAAATCTACTTTGGTCTACACTGCCAAGAGTTACCTTTGTAATAATTAAATGAAAAAGGTTTTAAGCAGAATATGAGGCAAAGGAAACCAAGTAGAGTGGCTAAATGCAGTTTGAGGCAGGGATCCAGTTGCACTGAAGAGGTTTCAAACTGAGAATACTATCTCATAAAGGACTTTAATTGCTATTATACTGCCACTCTTATTTCACTCTCACTAATTAAGTGGGCCAAACAAAAAAGCATTGAAACTGCATACTTCAAAGGAAAAAAAAATCAGATTTATTTTACAATAGAACGGTTGGGTAGTTAACGTTGCTGTTCTATGCTCTTAACATTGTATTTATTCTTTAATAGACTGTTTCACCATTAATGTCGTGCCAGGTGGATTTATTTTTGGTCAGCTAGGTGTCAAGTGACACATAATAAAATAATAATAATAATCCTTGCATTTGGTATAGCACTTTATCACGTCTTCGAGATGTCTCAAAGCGCTTCACAGAATATACGGTAGAGTGAATTGACTGCATGGTTTGTGGGTGAAATGCGGCAGCCAATTGTGCAAAGCAGTGTCCCACCAACAGTCGTGGATTGCGTAACCAGATTATTTATTTCTTCATTTTTTGAAGAGATTATTACCCCCGGAAAAGCGATCTACCAATCGACTGACAACCAGGTTTATACTTACTGCTAAGCGAACAGAGGCGTGTGGAGTAAGGAAACTTATCCAAAGTTTTGGCCCGCCCAGGAATCAAACCCAGGTCCTATCGCTTGCGAGTCGAATGCTCTAACCACTACACTACAGGACTCCACATGCGGAAACCTATCACATCCTTAAAAGTATCCACAAGAAAATCCAAATCCATTTATATGACACCTACACATGGAAATTTCTCTATCCCTGGAATTAAATTGGAACTGGAGGGCTACGTCCCGTTTACCTTATTCCAGAGAGTATTAGGCACAGGTTGGCAACAGCAAAGCCCATTAGGGCTTTGACTTCATAGAATCATAGAATTATACAGCACAAGAGGAGGCCATTCAGCCGATCGTGTCTGTGCCAACTCTTTGAAAAGAGCTATCCAATTCAATCTTACTCCCCCGCTCTCTCCCCATAGCCCTGCAAACTTGTCCTTCCAAATAATTATCTACTTCTCTCTTAAAAGTTGTTATCGAATTGGCTTCTACCACCCTTTCAGGCAATGCATTCCAGATCCAAACAACTCACTGTGTGAAAAGATTTCTCCTCACCTCCCCTATTTCTTTTAACAACTATTTTAAACCAGTGTCCTCGGGTTACCAACCCACTTGCCAGTGGTCGGTAACCCTTTTCACTTGCAGGTTTAAAAGAAGCCAAGAGCAAAGAATATCAATTCCCAGACTGGTCTGCTCCTCCAAGTTTTGCCAATGAGCCAGTCTAACGTATCTGTTATTAGCAGTGCCCTGAAGAACTGCAAACCTGCCTGGCTTAGGAATCGAATTACCAAAACCACCAGAGAGGCTTGACAGGATTATAACATTCCACTGCCAAGCATGTTGCCTTGGACCCAAGCTCAGCTCCAAGGACACCCTGCTTACCTTAATTCTTCCCCTCCCAGGAGGAAAGTTACATTTTGGCATGAGGGGGGTAGAAGGAGAAAAGCAGGCAACAAAAAAAATACTGAAACCAATCAATCAATAGCACAAAATACAGCAACCTTGAACTAGTCACATACAATCTGAACTGTCACGATCAACTTGAACTGTGATCAAAAGCGTAGACAAAGCACCTCCCACTATTTGCATTTGTGATTTGCAATTTGTTTTCTATACTATAAATTATTAGAACATAAATGTTTATGCCATAAATTATTAATTAAAAAAACACAATACTACAGAATTCATTGAAGATGGGTGGATTCAATATCTCACTGCAGAGAAAAACCTTATGTGACTGTGCAGGAGCTGGAGGAGAAGCCGTTGGAAGAGACAAAATGAAGTCACTGAGACAGGTAAGACTGAAACCAGGAATGGACAGAACAATGGAGGTGGTGCAGGAGGAGAGACAATTTGATGCCGTACTCTTTCATTCTGCTCATTTGATGCCTTTAATCTAATGTATAGCAGAAAACGATATGAATTACAAGTACATAAAAGATTTGTACAGCATATTTTTACATCTGGAGTGAGAAGTTTAAATTGCAAACTATTTTCAGTATTAAATTGGTTAAAGCTCTATTTGCCCTGATGGCTTTTTGCTAATGTCATGATACTTAAGAGAAAATATACTAGTTTTATTGACCAGCGTCTGGATGGATCCCAAAAGAAGTGTAAACACCAGAAACATTGTTTTTTACCTGAAAGTCTTCAGTGAGCTCTGGGAAAAAACGTACATATTCTTCCAATTCTTCTACTGGACGCCTCAAGTCTTGCACCGGCTTTAACTTGTTAATATCGGTTTCAATATCATCATTCTGGAAGGAAATAGAGTGCTCTTTATTATATTAGACAATTAAGTTAACATATTTCATACCTAACTCCATTTCTCCCATATTTGCTTCTAAGATGTTATTCATTTTCTTTGACAGCCAAAGAATGAAACAATTGTGACTGAGATTTTGTTAAGGCTTCTACTGTTGTTTGCAAGGACAGAAAATGGCCTCTAAAGGATAACATAACTCTCAAGGCCTATTCACAGTTATAACATAGGCCAATATCCAGCCTCTCAATAAGCTTGGAAAAGTTGTTTTCGGCTCTTGAAAATGATACTTGCTAAAGTGGGAACACAGGATAGTGCTGTTGAGAACTTTCTGGCCAGGTTTGGACACTACAATTATTCAGAAGTTGAAAAGAATCTCTCAACAATCGTTACCAATAATCCTTAAATAACAGAGAGTAGGAAGGAGACCTGAGAGGTTTTTAAAATTACGAAGCATTTTGGTAACAAACATGAACATTATTTTCCATTGGTCAGTGAGTCAGTGACACAGTCAGTGAGTCAGTGAGCACAGAATTAAGGCAATTACCAAAAGAACAAAGGAAGAGATTTGGAGAATTGTTTTTCCCCAGAGACCTGTTGGAACATTATATGTCCCTAACTAGAATGGCGCTCAAGGCAGAATCCATATTAACTTTTAAAAGTAATTAAAGATCTGAAAGGGAGAAAGGAAGGGCAAGAGAATGGGACTAAATGCATAGCTAAATAGAGAGCCAGCATGATAGGCTGATTAGCCTCCTTCTTTCTCTTTCAAGCCTCCTGATTTAGGAATATTGCGCTTTTGAACATTGTGTAACTTGCAAATAAATGGTGTCTAATATCACCACCTTCAGGTTTTCATCTTTATCTTCATCTTCATTTTCATTGTCTATTTCAGTCTCAATGTCATCATTGTCATCACTTTCATCTACAACGTCATCCACTAAAACAAGGAAAGACCATTTTAACGTGAAGTAATCAACCAGTAATCATAGAACCTTACAGTACAGAAGGCCATTCAAACATGATTTGGTGAGAGACAAACGGATACCTGTATCTAGGTCTCTATCACAGCATCACTGCATTTAGCCAGCCTCCCCGCAGATTGTAAAACAAGCTAAGCTTCCAAATCAAGATTGAATTAAATTCTGGAATTGAGCTTCCAATTCACATAACTTGAGATCATTGAGCCCTATGGCTTTGTAAAACAAATGTTTGACTCATTTAGTTAACAAGTTAATATGATTTCTGTTGAAATATTAAGCGTAGCATAATTAATATCCCTACTTGTACCCTAACTTTCTGCACACCTGCTAATGGCAGCATAGAAGTTTAAAACATATGTAAGGTACCATTCATGTGCCGGGATTCTTTTTAAATATATATATTCCTCTCCCCCTGCCTTTCTCTATCTCTAACCCTCCATTACAGCTGTAACAAATTGCTGAACAAATTCATTCAGTTTGTACTCCTTTGCTAAATATTGCTCAGTTCCCACCCACCAGTGTCTCCTCACCTCTTTCTCAGCTGCTGGCTCCAACTCTCAGAGCTAGGCCACAACCTTGGTGATTTGTTTGACTCGTAGCATTACTTTAAGTTTTCAACTGGCCCTTGACCATCCCCTTCCTCCACCTGCGCAGTTGAGGGTTTACACTCAAGCTGGGGATTGGATTCAGGAGGGGTGGGAGTGGGCTAGTGGGGGTGGGAGTGGGAAGATGACCGATGGCATAATCAAAGAGGAAGGTCTTGAGACGGACCTTGAAGAAAGTGAGGGAACGGGTGAGGCAGAGTGGGGTCAGAGAGGCTGAAGACCCGACCACCGATGGTGGGATGAGCAGGGTACGGTGTGAAGCAAGCCAGCGCCTATCGAGCGCAGGGAGTGGGCAGGTTGATAGTGTTTTAGAAGGTCAGAGGTAGGGTGAAGCAAAACTATGGTGCAATTTAAAAGTGAAGACAAGAATCTTGAACTCAATCCTCTGGGGGATGGGGAGCTGGTGGAACTGGGCAAGGATGAGGGCTATTGCAGAGCCCAGTGCGGGACAGAACACAAGCTCCAGAGTTCCAGATGGTTTCCAGAGGTTAAGAGCTAGAATGTCCAGTGAGCAGAGAATTGGCGAAATCAAACCTGGATGTGATTAAAGCATGGATAAGGGTCTCGGTGGGAGAGGTTGTAATGGAGAGGGTCAATATTGCAGAGATGGCAGAAAGCTGAATGGGTCAAGGCACAATTGTGAGGTTTAAACGACAGCTGAGAGTTGAATATGACACTGAAGTTCCACACTGGCTCTATGAGGGTTCAACCACGTAGGATAATGCTGTTACTGCCAAAGGTGAGGAAGCACTAATGGGAGCCAAGCAGGAGATCCTCCATCTTGTCAACATTCGACTGGAAAAAGCTAGCTGTCATCCAGTGGTTAACGTCTGACAGGCAATCAGTCAGAACAGCAATGGTCCTGGAATTAAAGATACAGGCAGAGGGATAGAGTTGGGTGCCATTCGAAGTTAACCCTGTGTCTGCAGATGACATCATTGAGGGGAAGCATGTAAATAAAAAGAGAGGTCCAAGGACAGAGCCCTGAGAAACACCACGGGTGATGGTGCGTGTCGGGAGAACCCATTAGCAAAATTAGTGCAATTCTCAGGACAAACTAACCCAATTGCATTGATAACTACTTTTCTGTGGAATTAAACAAAAAGCTAATCTTGTTTCTTTAGGTGAAAAGGCATCAATGAATGAACTATTTGTGCTGAGTTCAGAGAATTCGGGGAAAGCAGGCAGCTTTTGCACCTTTCCTTCTCTTATTTTTGCAACTGTAACCGGTCCCCAATGTAACACACTCACTTTGGTTTCCTCATGTGCACTTATTTAATGGTATGGTTTGCACATTCAAATACCTACCATCAGGAGGTAAGCTATAAAGCTGTGCTACAGGACCACTTGCTGGTATCACTTTTAACTGGAATTGGTAGACGCTTTTAATGGTTGGAATTGGAAGACGGTTTTTAGGGAAGCATTTTCTCATTATTAGGCTGGATATATTGACCAGAGGATCCAGTGTTCTCACTGAAAGGCATTCCTTTAAAATAAAACAGAACAATTAAATAGAAGGAAGAAATACTTCACAGTTGCATTAGTAACTTATTGTATTATTGTTTTGAAACTTTTTAAAAAATATATATGCATTTGCATGCTGCGTGTTTCTGTATACATCGCTCATATACACACACAGGATATATACATCTAAATACAATAGTTTGGCATGAATGTTCCAACACTAGTTAAGTGCCCCAAAAATGTCTAAACTGATGAGTAAATCAGACAAACGGACACTCTCAGTCAATGTACAGTATAACATAGAAATTGGATCCCTAGTCTATCCTGAATAGCCTAGTTTCTCCAGAAACTAAGCCTAGAAACTAAGCTTGCTCGGGTATTAGTTTTCTGATTAGTATCTAATAGCCCAAAATGAAAGAATATATATGACAATGAATCAGGACAAGGACAGCCCTCGACAGCCATGCCGTTTGCTCTCCACCCGTCACACCCACCATGGTTGAATAGACTGAGACTTATTGTCTAGACTCACAAATCAAGAATTGCTCATTTGTTGGTGTACTAAAGCAGTAGCAGAATTTGGGGAACAATGCTGCAACATGAGCATTGGCGTTTAGTGGAAAACTAATTGGCTGCCTTCAAGTTTGCCTATCAATACAATTATCAAATTTTTCAGTAAAGCCCTAGAAACATTTAGACATTTTGATAACATAAGGTACTATATCAAATGCAAGGATAATTTTATATCACCTGAAGGCACCTGATTTAGCTTTTCTTTTACTAACAGTTCCAATAGCCACCGATTGCTCTCTGGTAAATCACCTAAAAGGCTATTATTCATAGACCAGCTTTGATAGTTAGCATCAGCTTCAAATACAAGCCCCAACTAGAGCTACTTGCAATCTGCTGCTCATATTACTTACTATGCCTTCCCCTACACCTAGTACACCTGTAGTTTGTTTCTAATCCTCTGAATCCAATCCTGGCAACAGACACCAACAATTTGCCAGATATTTCCTCAATAAAATTATCCTTGACCCAAAAGTTTTTCTTTGCAGCATCTACAGTAGTACCAAATTATCATCTGTTTTAGCATTGTCTTGGTATTTGTTCTTTTAACAAGCATTGCTCCAATAACATATTGTTTCTTTGGTTTATTATCACCATATCAAAACCTTTTTGTCAGAAACATAAGCAAAGATTACGTCGATTTTATCACTTAGCAGTCGGTGGTTACAAAAGCCGGCACACGTGACTTTAATAGCTTCCAAATAGCCATCTATATTCATTTTAAATGAAGACAAATGCTCATATTCAAAGTCAAATCTTAATGGGTATCATGTCCAGCTTTCAACACAGGTTATTATGTCAACATAATTGCACACTATTTCAATAGAAATGCAGACACGTACTTGAGAAGTATTATACAAGACCTTCATCCCATCAGCATCAATAAAAGCTTTTCTGCCAAGCTTGATATTGGTGATATTTTTGATGCAGGTTAAAACTCCCTTACGAATCAACATGTGTCTGTGCCTAGTGTCGTGCCGGTGCCAATCAAGATAAATCGTGAGAAGAAGCGGAAGGTATCCTCTTTCCACTGCCCGTCTTGCATTGGTGTCTATTATGAAATAAAAATTTTAAAACATTTCTAAATAGAAATAAACATATGTTATTTATTAATCGCACTATGCAATCACTTCTGTATAAAGCATCTCATGTAACTCGCACATTTCCTTGTTTGCAAAGATTTCTTGCAGTGACAAGCGGGATGGAGGATTGATGTAAAAACAATCATCTTAAAGGGGCCTCAGTCATCTTACTCAGGTCCATTCCCTGACCTGTTCCTCAGATATATTGACGACTGGCTCTGGAACTCTATCCCCCAGTGCCTTCGCCTTGCCTCCTCCCTTTCCTCCTTCAAGGCTGGTCTCAAGACCTTTCTCTTTGACCGTGCCTTCAGCTCCCCTCTCGACTCTCTACCCCCTGCTCTCTATACCCTTAGTCCTCACCTCCTACCCCACCAGACACAACATCCAACAAATAACTCTCTGCCATTTCCAGCACCTCCAGCGTGATCCAACCACTAAGCATATCTTTCCCTCCCCTCCCACCATTCCGAAGGGACCGTTCCCTCTGTGACTGCTTGGTTCATTCCTCCTTCACCACCAACAATTGCTCTCCTCTCCCTGGCACCTTCCCATGCCAGCGCAGGAAATGCAATACCTGCCTTTTCACTTCCTCCCATTCCACTGTCCAGGGCCCCAAACACAAATTTCAAGTGAGTCAGCAATTTACGTGTAATACCACCAATGTAGTTTACTGCATTTGCTGCTCACGATGTGGTCTCCTCTACATTGGGGAGACAAAACGTAAATTGGGTGACCAATTTGCCGAACACCTCCGTTCTGTCCACAAACACAACCCTGAGCTTCCAGCTTCTTGCCACTTCAACTCTCCCTCCCACTCACACACTGACCTCTCCATCCACTGTCTCCTACGCTGTTCCAATGAGCCACAGCGCAAGCTCAAGGAATAGCACCTCATTTATCTGCCCTCTGGCCTCAATATTGATTTCAACAATTACAGACCATAACAGCTCAACTTCACCCTCCCCTTCTTTGGTGACCATTACCATCTGGGTCCCAGACACACCTTTTCTCTCTCTGGTCTGCCTGTTTTGTTGCAATCCCCCACACTGTTTTGCATTATTAACACCTCTTTAACCCATCATCTCCTGTCCTCTACCCCATTTTCCCCTTTGTTTTCCTTGCCCTGCATCCCCACGCTTTGTTAACCCTTAAAAGCCTCTCCCTCCCAACATGCCCCAGCTCTGACAAAAGGTCTTGGACCCGAAACGTTGACTCACTTTCCTTTCTCCATAGATGCTGCCTGACCTGCTGAATGTGTAATTTCTACTTTCATATTACCATTTGCACTCACTGAGAACAGTCTGCTGAACACTGAGAACCCTTTTTCAAATTTACCCAGCGGGATGCATCAATCTGGGCTATTTATACATATAAAACTAAACAAGAGGAGACTGAAAAAGTTAGGCTTCACGGTTACTCTTTCACAACCAAAGGTAAAGTAAATTTCACCAACTTAAATGGTCCAAAAAGCAACTGAAATGAAATGGAAAGCAGCAGTTTCTTCTACAATACACTGTTTTAAAAAAAGTGTCCCGATAGAAATGGAACTCAGTAATATTGGACTATGGAAAGGAAAATAATCAGAGCTCCTGCTAGCTGAACAGTGATTCAAGTCAACAAATGCATGTGTGTGAATGCTATCAGTACAAGGATCGGGCTAGGCTTTATTGCTCCCCACAGGTTAATGAATAACAATGACAACACTGTTGGGTTCTCACAACACACACACAAACACTGATTACTCTAAAGAGGTGTCTATGAAAATATACACCAGCAAGAGGCAATGTCTTCAAGAGTGGAGGGAGGAAGTTAACAAGAAGAATTGTGAAAAATGATGCCCATCTTTAATAGTTAACTTATATACTGTATATAACCAGATAAAGCACTTACTCGACTTCAGCAATGCCGCCAATGTGTCTAAAGAGACCCTGTAAAACAACACATTCCATAGGATGCAACCATAACATAAATACAATAAATTCTACAAATGGTGACAGGAATAAATACAATACTCTCCTCCAAGACTGACAAAATCAAAACAGAAAACAAAAAAGATTTCTTCAATATAAAACCAGATTATGAAAAGTATGGTTTAGTTTTAAACTTAAATCTTCATAATTTTGGTAAAAGTTCATTAAGTCTATTTATATCTAATATTTATTGCACTACACAACTATTGAATGTTTACAAAAGAGTACTGTTTACAAAAGTAACATTTTATAGTGTTACTTCTTTAGATGAGAAGTTAAAACTGTCTGCCTGTTCAGGTAGACGACAAAGATCCCACAGAGCTATTTGAAAAGAAAAGGGAGTTTCTCCAGGTGTCCTGGTTAATAATCCCAGAAGTGAAATTGTTCTTTCACGTTGTGGCCATTTGTGGGATATTGGCGTGTCTAAATCTGCTGTCACATACGCTTATAAATTATATTCACTAAACTTTTCTTTGTAATCCTATGAAGCACTTTTAAGCCATCTTCCTGATAAGAAAGGTGCTATATCAAATTTAAAAATTCTTTTATAAATATTGTATTGCTGGATCACATAGAAAAGTACTGTATCTATTGTGGGGTCCCTTCTGTTCCTTGTATACATTGACCTGGATTCACAAACTCAGTGCAAGAGTTCCATTTGTGAGAAATATGGAGAAAGGCATTTTGAGGCTGATTCCCGTTAAAGTACTGGAAATGGACTGAAAGATACCATCATTAGGAAGATTTCACTGCATTAACTCTCAAGACACACACTTAAAACGCCTTGTGAACTATCATTCTAATTTGCAGCATTAAAATTGGAAAGAAGTTAAAAGAATTAGTGCTTTGCAATGTCATCCTAGATGCCACTTAGTTCATTAAATAACAATTTAAAAGTACAGTGGCCATTGCAAATTCTTTTTAACTTTGAAAAGGAGATTCAGTGGTACTCTGCAACAATTTTATCCAGTAATCTATTTTAGTTAATGGATATCATAAATCTGATTTTCAAACTAGAGTTGAGGACATTTCATTTGAATATACAGTAATCACTCGTCTTTCTGAAGAGGATAAAGAGGAACAGATGTTAACAAGTTATAACTCAAGAGGTTTGGTAAATCCATGAATCATCAATTCCCTACATTAATAGTTACACTTTCTGAAATACAAGACCCTGACAGACCCTGTGTTGTACATTAAACATATTTCTACTTCAGGCAGAGAATGTAATCAAGACACATTACTATAATTCAGCTATGCTCCAACCAATTATGGATCAAGAACATTGACAAGAAGACATTTCTGCCATGACTTTTCATTTCTAGTTTAAGGTAGAGGGGTGAAAAATGTCACAAGTGATGTGCTAAATATCACCAACTATGAATGCTTACCCATTATCACACTGTCAACAAGTGTAATTCAGAAATGAATTGTGGTTATTAACAAATTCTTTGGAATGACATCCTTCCCCCCCCCCCCACCATATTTTAACCACCCAAATTTTAACATAATGGTTTGGGCTGAAGCCGGTCGTGTTCTCTGCAAACCCTCATTTTATGTTTATTCAGCCTTTCAGTCTGGTTGCAGTTTAGCAACACAACTTTGCCAGTTTGGTTGAGCTGTATTGAGTCATTATTCTGCTGCAGTGACAACCCAACATTGAATGCTAGAAAGGCTAAGCTTCCCTCACTATGTTTCTATTAACTATTGCAGTGAATCCCCCCACCCCAGTGAAAAAGTAAGTGTTGAGATTTTTATATTATTATATATTGTATATATTATTATATTATAAACAATAGTGTGGGGTTAGTCACAAGAAGTCAAACGAACCATAGAGTCAAGAGAAAGAATGTTATAGAGAGAAAGAGAGAGAGACACACACACACAAACAAAGCCTGCCATAGAGGCTTGCCTCAAAAAGAGTTGGGATTCCTGTACACTACATAATTTCTGTTTTACTCTGTTTGTATTGGCCACCACAGAGGAATTTGGAGCCCAGCCTATAAAGGCTTGCAATATTAGACAGGAATTGTTGTAAGCTTTTCCCTATTGAAAGCTGGAGCCACTACTCTTCTGTGTATACAATTTGTGAAAAAAATAAATTCCCAAGTAACTTAAATGAACTGGGGCAGTCTCATCAATGAATGGAAAGAGTCACGTGAGCAGGACGATCAGGGTGCTCAGCTGGTCAACAGAACTGCAACAACTCAATATATAGTTTTAAAAATAACCAAAAGACAGGGAGAGTCTCAGCACTCAGCAAAAGTAGCAATTTGAATATAATATTTAAGATATTAAGGATTATAAAAATAGGCATCAGGTTTCAATGACTTTCCAATATTTGTACACCCAAAGCAGAAAAACTATTTCTTTCGCCTTTCCAGACATTCAAGTCAGACTTGGAAGACTTAGTTGCAATCTATGCCTCCCATATTCATACCCTTGCCTTCAAAATAACCTCAAAGCAATTAATAACATTGATTCAATAAATAAACTCATGTGTAGTGCAAATGGCATATGTAACCCCATTAAAATGTTTTACCCCATATTTGTATCACTGGTGTCTCTACCACTCACAAAGCTAACCAGATATATGCCAATAAATGGTACAGCTATAATAGATCACCACCAGACATTGAGCAAAACCCAATAGATTTAATTACATCTGATTACATTAGATTTCATTACATCTAATTACATTCAAGTAAATATTCCAAGACCCTACTAATGTGAACGGTGCTATATAAATGTATGTTGTTGTAATTTATATTATTTTTATTTAAATTTCCAAGTTCTGAAAGCTGAAAACTGCTCATCTTTTTTAAGCCAGCCCCTTCCTATGCTGTGGTGGTTTGACAAGAATCCATGATTATATTTGCAAAGCCACAGGTCAACCCATGGGTTATATGATGTGGATCCACAAACCAAATCTCAACCGCTGAAATAGAAAATAAACACCTGCCCTATTACAGAATTACAACTGGCACCTGTAAGGGAAAGCAAGTATATGTATGGTAAGTTATTAAATTATTAACCTTTTAAACTTCGGGTTATGTTAGTCATTCTTTGTTTTATTAGAAACGTAGAAACAGGAGTTGGTCATTCAGCCCTCGAGCCTGTTCCACCATTAATAATAATAATAATAATAATAATCCTTGCATTTGATATAGCGCTTTTCACGTCAGGAGGACGTCCCAAAGCGCTTCACAGAACACACTGTAAAGTGAATTGACTGTATATTTGTGGGCGAACGCGGCAGCCAATTGCGCACAGCAATGTCCCACAAACAGTCGTAGATTGAAAATGACCAATTTAATTATTGTTTTTGTTTTTTTGGAGGGATTATTATTAGGCGTGTGGAGTATCTCTATCAGATCCTGGCTGATCTGTAATTCAAGTCCAATTATCCAGCCTTGTCCCATATCCCTTAATACCCTGACCTAACAAATATCTATCCATATATTCATCATGATAACTGCATGACTGTATTTGCTTTTACCATACTTGGAGGGAGTTTTAATAATTAAACAATTTTCAAAATCCATTTTAAAGATCAAACAATTCCCAATTAACTTGTGAAAATTATTTTTTTAAAAATCATTGAGTTACTTCACATACATGTATTGAAATATTACTTACTTTGTAAGACCAGTGTTCTTCTTGCTAAAAGGAGCAATAATCTTAAACATAAGCTCCACGACACCATTTTTACCCAAGGACACTGCATTAACAGCTGAAAAAAATTAGTAGTTACAAATTACACAGCGTCCGTCGCATGAGCATTTATTATTGTCCAGTATACACGTACATTATTTTCAAATTCAAATCTAAATACTGTAACTTAATATATATTGCATTCGTTATATCTGTGACAATTTAAACCAAAAGAATGGTTTTAAAAAGCTATAGATACAAGATTTTCTCATTATGTTTCCATCAAGTAGAATATTATTCAGATAGATATATGGCCTGGGTTGCAGTGTATTTTAAACAATACAAAGTTAATGGTTCAGAAAACTGTGGTTCAGCTTTCAGTCACTGAACAAAAATACAACAAAAAGTGAATGAAAGTTTGAGAACAGTAATACAAAAATAAAATACTCAATGTACATCGACATTTATGAATTTATGTAATTACAGTTTCATTATTGATTGCTTTAACTAGGCTACTGTGGTCCACTCTAGTTGTACATGAAAATAATTAGGTTATCAAATTCTGACTCGTACAAACGTGAAACTTCTTACAAGGCTTCACAAACTCAAGCAAACTGTACAGTTCATCATCAACCATCCTGCAAGCATTTAAACCTGAGGAAACATACTTTACCTTCCACCCCATTCTCAAGGAAAATTTTTTTTTTTTTAAACAGAGTATTAATTTTAGCAACCTGTAAAGGGGCAGAGTGGGCCGACTGGGATTAGGACCCAAAACCCTCTGGTCCCAAGTCCGATATTCCACCATCTAAGTTACCCAAGATGTTAATTTCTTGGTACAATCTAAACCACTATGGACAGCCATAAATAATTCCTATATGTGAGCACCACTGAGTCAGGCAAAATGACAGTGTCTTCTAGTTAAGATACAATCACTGATGGCACTTTTTATGTTCAACACTTACAATTACTAGAATATGCTCGTAGGACCTGCAGACAAGGAAGAATCAGCTTCAGGTTCTGTAAATTCTGCTTCACCAAACCTAGAGTTATGCTTAAGGCTCCATTAATCCTGGCTTTGACTCCAAACTTTTTATCTGTTAACAAAAAGATGTTAATATACTACAGATATGGTCATTTTTTTCCCCCAAAATTCGTTCCTTGCAACAAATTCTTTACTTCTTTAAAATGATGACGTCTTGTAATTTACATTTTATTAATCTGTAACTAATATACATTCACACACAAAATATATTTTGTGAATATAAATGTAAGATTTTTTTCCAAAATTAAGACTTTTATAAATTCAAGGGTATTGTTATCAGAGTTGACTTATTGGTGGTGCCCTCTTAAGGTAAAGACTAAATGGTGCATTCTCACCCATATGGAAAGGTGAATCCTACTAGAAGGTGTAGTAAGTTTTACAAATAATTGGATAGCTTACTTTTACATTGCTGCTGTCAAGATTTCCATACAATGGCAAGTCTGAAGAGACTATAATTTGGTTTGAACGAAAAGTATATTACATATTTGTTCTAAATAAAATATCAACACCTAGTCATTGAAACTGCTGCCCCAAATAAAACAAAACACTTCCCTGTGTTTTAGACACCACAATTTATGCACAAAGCCACACATTTTAATGTGCGATTTTCATCTAGCAATGAAAATTTGTACCATTGAATTATGACAAATCATTCATTTACAGTGAGTTATTGCAATTGAATTATGATAGACCATTTGTTAATCTCCTTTAATCCTGAAAGAGTTGGCATTTGCATTCCTGTGGTTTAACATATTGATTTTCAGGCTAAAATGTTGTCTGTTCACGTAATCTGTAAAGATGCTGTAAATAACTAAGCATTGCTAAGTTAACATGACCCCAAACTACAAATCAATGTTCAATTTTCCATCACTGACATAACACTAAATATTAAGCTATGCCACAGATCTTACGAGAACTGAAAAATATATAGATTGTTGGTACTTTCATAGTTTGGAAGTAGCTTTTACACAATTGACAAGACTTGTTAGGAACACACTGTGCTCACAATTTCCTAAGAATCTGATAGAATAGGCAACAAGTCTGCAACTCAATGACTTTTTGTGTGTAAGCTCCATCTGCTGTACATAAAGAGATTTTCTTTTACACCACGTGTATTTGACCCACTAATATCCCTCAAGAAAAAAACCCAATAAAATTGGTCACTTCAATCCACGACTGTTTGTGGGACACTGCTGTGCACAATTGGCTGCCACGTTTCGCCCACACAGTATACAGTCAATTCACTTTACAGTATATTCTGTGAAGCACTTGGAGACGTCTAGAAGATAAGGCGCTATATCAAATGCAAGGATTATTATTATTATCTCATGAGCAATAAAGTTAAACCGGTCAGCCACAGAGTGAAATAAAGGCTGCATTAAAGTGCTTAACGCAAACAAATCTATCGATACATCAGAGTTAATTACATGCTTTAAGGTACACTTTGAATTTTGATTACATGTCATTTTATTGGTTGTTCTGAGAAGACTCAATTGTGTGGACGTGAGGTGATGCAGCATTCACAAAGCTTTATGATACTTTTCTTTCAGGGGCTTGTGATACATAAGTGAAGCCATCAGAAGCCCAATTGATTTAAGTGGAGTTCCACAGAGTCTGGCAGATGCAATAATACTAAAAATCAGAAAATGGAGCAAAGTTACAGCAAACTGGAGAACAGATGTGGAGGATAGACAGAGCAAGGAAAGGGTCTGGGAAATGATTGTCAGAAGCTTCTTTTAATGTGTTGAGCCAATTGGTGAGTCAGACTGCAGGTGATGTTTGAAAGTGTCAGAACATGACAGGGGTTTATTTGCTTCATCACAAAACCAGCATTTACTACACTGCTTTAACTGCATCACCTGTGCAAGAGTATACAGCGGGCAGCTTAGTGAAATCCACAGGTGAGGGTTGAATGTCAAGCAAGTAATACAAAAAACATGCACTACTGTGTCTCATGCACCTAAATCAAGTAATTAGCTTCCCCATTTCTTCTTTAACTTTCTCGTGCAATCACCTCTCTTGGTTGTCTATTCTGCATATTCACCACTCTCTGTATAAAGTATAAAGTAACTGGCCCAAATTGGTAACGCTTTAATGTGTGCATGAGATTACACATTGATGCTTAGTCCTCTGCCTAGTGCTAATTGGACGCCCAGTTTACCTGTTGTTCTGCGCCTGTTGCTACGTGTTCTGTGCACATTCCTCCACATTTGATTATATTTTTAAAGTTAAAAAATCCTCATTTGAAAACATATAGCTTCTTCCAGAACGAGAAAGTATAATGCATCCAAATAGATTCCTTATTTCAATGTGACAAATGCAATATTTTACAACAATGCGAAGCACACAAGCTCAAAAACACACTCAATTTTGATAATTTGCATTAATTACAGTGGAACCTCAATTGTCCGTGAAATAGATGGGACGCCTTCCCCAGTAACAATGAAATTAGTAGGAAATCATGGTCCTTTGCATGGAATGAAAGCCAGATTTACATTGCCAACCATAACCGTAGAATCAACTTCATATTTATGCTATGCGAAGCGGAAATGGTACAATCACTTGTTCATGTTTGCATTTCAATATTTCCCCTTCTGGATCATAACTATATCATGTTATTTGTCTCGTGCTTAGAAAATACAAGGAAAGCTACCAAATGAAAATTAATTATTTCTATTCATCAAAGGAGATGTTAATCAAGAAGGCAGTAGGACGGAAGCAGCATTGCTGATTATTGGTAAGCAATTATTTTGATTTAAGAGGATAATTCATGCACTTTTAAAGCAGAAAACATACCAAGAAATAATCCTTTGCCAGTTTCTCTAGCCGGTAAGTATTTGTTTTTAGTTTCCTTTTCTACAACATTAACATTACTTTCCCAACTGCAAAATTAACTCAGCACGAGACTACACACAGGAAGTAACCTGTCAAAACTGCCTGTCGTACATACTCTCTCACACAATGATTAGTTCTTTATATCCTCTGATGTGTCCAGTTTCTTTTTACTACCCAACAGAAAGTCAAAGGTGCTAATTCTCCCGGATATAAAATTCCTGACCTCTGCTTATGCTATGTAGGCTATGTGAAAAGCAAAGGTGAGGATGAACTTAATGCAGCAAGCAGAAACACTTGCAAATAAAAGTAGAGAAATAGTTGATGTCATTAATAGACATTTTTCAGTCACTGATACATCTTCAGATTTAATTAATAAAATAACTTTACACCTTTCGGTCCAATCTTTGCGAGTAAAGAATGAAGTTGCACCATAAGCTCTTCATTTGTCGGAGAATCTTTGCTGGCACTAAATAGCAACTGAAGCAGAACCTGACTCCCTCCTTTGGAAACCAACACACCAATTCTGCGGCCTCCTCCTGAAATGAAAAACACATTTCAATTAAATAAAATACGCTAAAGATATACAATATGTTAATGTTTCAGGTACAAGTAATAAAAACATTAATAGAAAGAACAAAGTAGAACAAACACTAAGCCCAGATAGCAATTCCCACAATAACGACAGGTCAGTGAGGAGATAGTGGATGGACAGAAATTTTGATTTAGTTTAATTAGCCTTACCTCCATTTTGGGCAAATGTCTGGACCAAACGATAGATGGAATTTGTGAACAAGGATTTGTAAAGATTTTGCCTTTTATAATGGTCAGGTTTGACTCATTTATTTGAATTTCTTGCGGAAATCTGAGTGTGTAGCTAAATGGAATAAATATGTGGATTTTTACAAGATATATTAAAAAGATGCCAGATAAACTCATTGAGAAAATTGAGGCACATGTTAAAGGTCAATTGGTGGCATGGGTACAGACGTTTGAAAGATAATAGGGGTGAAATTAATGCTTCTTGGCATCTGTGCTGGAACCTTTAATGATTTCCATCTATACTAATGATTTGGGGAATCAACATTGGGGGAGAAATTCCAAATTTGTACGTGCGGCTAACTGAGGAAACCTGCTGGAAACAGAGCGATTATCAGCAGAGTGAGTGGATAGGGGTCAATAAATGTGATGCAGCACATATTGTGAAAAAGAAATACCTGAAGGATTACTTCTTAAAATGATGTTGAGAAATGGTGATTTTCCTGATAAGCAGGCACACTCTGTACAATTTCCTTCAATTATTTCGGTTCCTTGTTCCCATATACATTATTTATCTACATTGAACTACATTTGCAAGCTACTGACCTAATTGCCCAGATCAAAATCTTTCTGCATCTGGTTGTATTCTTCTTCATTAATTGTATTGTCTCCTATTTTCAGATCATCTGCAAACTTGGAGACTCTTTTTGCACCTCTTGACCAAGTAAATAACATATTAAAAATAGCTAGATCGAGCCCAAAACCCGAGGTAGCCGTTTGTAATCTACCCATATGAAGCGTTTCCATTTTAGGTTAATCATGTCTCTTGCCCCTCTCCTGCCCATTCTTTCCCCTATTCCAAGTCTTTACTTTAGTCAGTTTTTGAAAATTACCAGCATATTGGCTAAGCATAGCCTGTCACTTCCTGAATCCTACGTGACTGTTCAACAAATTATCCTTTTGTAAGTGCCAACCACCGAGGTTGAGAGATTCTATTCCCTGCTAAGTCAGACTTAGCAGTTTTCAGAAAACTGAAATAACTAGAGCATATCAAAATCATTGCGCTTAGTACAATGATGAAAATCATACCCAAGAAGTCGCTTCAAAATGTGAAATATTTGCTATACATTTGAATGTGATATATTCCCTAGATTGCTCAATTTATTCTAACATAAACACTCAGCTTTTGCTGCCAAAAGCTACAACAAATCAAGCTCTCTCATTCTTTGCCAAATAAGAAGCATCAATGATCGGTTTGTTAATATACATTCTTCATATCTCACTTTGATGGGATCTGTTGGATAACACTTTAAGAGTAATAATAATAGTTCTTGCATTTGATATTGCGCCTTACCATTCATTGCGACATCTCAAAGTGCTTCACAGAATATACTGTAAAGTGGAGTGACTATATTTTGTGAATACATAGACAATTAACTGGGAACCAATGAAACAAGACCAGAACTCAGTAGTCTGGTTCCTTAGCCAGGCGGGTCTGCAGTATTCCAGGGCACTGCTGACGACAGCACAGCCAGCCTGGCTCATTGACAGAACCTGGAAGGGCAAACCAGTCCCTGGGGGCAAGGAGTCATCCCACTCAGCTCCTGTTAACCCTGCAAGCCAAAGCCCTGCCAGGTAGGGTGGTCCTAGCAGGACAAGCAGCAGGAAAGTTTGTTAGATGGCAATAGTAATGACAAGCTATGTGGTTTTTGCTGGTTGGTCTCCAGCAATACCCCAACACACACCCTGGGGTCCCGAAGCCTTGGCACTTGCCAACCTGCGCCTAATACTTTCCAGAATTAGATAATCAGGATGCGTCTCTCCAGGGAGAGAGTGCGCAATGCATTCCAACAATCTATCTCTGGGATTTCCATGTGTAGGTGAGATGTATGGAAATCCCAGCTTGGTTTGGACACCAGCTTGGCACGGCGATCGGTTTCCGCATGTGTCAGACACCCAGCTGACCAAAAAAGAGACCAGAAAGTAAAAGAGGGGATTCTGGGAGAACAACTAGTGTGAGTTTATGGTTGTGAGTATTGGAGTATTGGGAGCTGAAAATAAAAGATTTACTTAATACACCAGTGTTATGGATTGAAAATCATTCCAAGTTCCCCAAATCCTGTACACAAGAACCATTTGCAGCCTGGTCTCTGCAACAAATTGCCATTACTACAATTTGTTTGGTTTCTTTTTCCTGATTCAATATCTACAGTGTTTTAAAATTGGTGAACAACTTCTGGAAGTTTTACTATTAAACAAAACAAACCCCATAACATATAACAATCCTTGCATTTGATATAGCCTTATCACGTTGAGACGTCTCAAAACACTTCACAGAATATACTGTAGAGTGAATTGACTGTGTATTTCAAAATCTGAGGGTGAAATATAGCAGTCAATTGCGCACAGTGGTGTCCCACAAACAGTCATGGATTGAGTGACCATAGTTTTTCTTTTTTTAAAAAGCAAGACCAGAACAAAATATTTTAAAAAAATACAAAAATAAATTTGCAAACAAACTCACCCACAGAGACCAGTTCAGCTAGAATGCTGAGGATATTCAGTGTGGTCTGAAGGTCCCGGGTATTCTGAAAGAAGAAAACAAATGTTCCTTCTCTAGCCAAAGTTTGCGTGAAGGACTTTAGTCTTTATTAAATCAATTACTGAAAAATCCTAAACGGGGCTATGCATTCATTATGGTCAACACACAGCTTGGTTTTATTTCAATATTACCCTCAGAGAAGCAATAATGGTACTTTAAAGAAATAAAATGCCTTGCCTATAGTTCAACTTTCAGAGAATCTCAATACAGATAAGAGAACAGATCACCACCTAGTGGCCTTTTGTTCAATTAGTTAAATCTTAAGACCATTTAAAAATCAGGCTGATCGTGTACAATTGTACAAATCCCACTCGTACTTGTTCCGGCTTGCCCCATTTCCTCTCTGATCATTAAAATCAAAGTGTTCAGAAACCAAAGTATATATTTCAGGCATTAAGGCCATTGCAAACAAATCAACAGAAAAATCAAAGATGTTTGTAAATTTTTCCACATGAGCAACCACTTTGTCCAGAGGCAGAGTCATGACAATGCAAGATAGATCTGGGAGTTCGTTATTACAATTATGAGTATGTTCCTTTTGTTTTGTAGCAAACTTTGTAAAATTATTTTCAAACTTTTATCTGAGCTACTCTTCATTTTCCTTAAAGCAGTAGTTTGGATGCGTGACAACGGGTTCCAAGCCCAAATGAAACAGAAAGATTTTACAGCACAACAAAAAAAATTTTTAGTACCGTACATTGACTATATTCAAAAAGATACTCAATGAAAGGAGCAGTCTCATTCTCCACACTCTTTTTGGTGTTACTTTGAGGCTACATTACTTCTGCACTTGGGGCACAACATGAGTTATGCCAAGGCAAGGTTACAATTCAAAACTACCCCGTGAGTACAACACCATGATGGTTTGAGGATGAAAATAAACTTTTACCTCAAGTGTTGAGAGAATTACTTCCATTCCTGTTGAACCTTTGGCGGTGATATCTTTCTTCGTTCTTTCTATGAATTCAAGAATTCAATAGTTACAATCAAGATAAAATATGAAACTATGCACATACAGCAAGACAATTAGGTTCAGCAATAAAAATTAACGCTGAGCCAAATTAATCAAGCCAGATTACTGGATCAGACTTTCCGGGAAACTATCCCGTGTGAAAGGTGAATATAAATGCAAGTTGTTGTTGTATTCCTAGTGACATTGGCCTGATGATATCTTCTTGCATGTTCATGCCTAACAAAATGAGAACTAAAAATTCTGACATGAAATGCTTCTGATCAAAACAATTATAAGAATCACTTGTGAACCTAATCACTTAAATCAAAAAAAAGGTTGTATCAACCTTAAGAGAATGCAAACCTAGACCCTCTAGGTCCCATATCTGGTACTGAATCAATTGAGCTACTCAGATATTACCTGAGCAACTCAAATTTCTAGGATTAAAAGAGGATGGATATAGAAAAAAAATGCAGCCATGGGACCAGCCTTAGTTGATAAGATATTTTATTTATGTCTAATGAATACGAGTACAACAACAACAACAACAAGATTCCATTTATAGAGCGCCTTTCACGTCAGGAGGACGTCCCAAGGCGCTGCACAGTTGGGTCATGACCCGAGCAGGGGGGAAATGGTCAGGGTGAGGGGAGGGAAGGGAGGGAGAGAGGAGGGGGGAAATGGTCAGGGTGAGGGGAGGGAAGGGAGGGAGCGAGGAGGGGGTAGAGAGTCGAGAGGGAAGCTGAAGGCACGGTCAAAGAGAAAGGTTTTGAGACCGGCCTTGAAGGAGGAAAGGGAGGAGGCGGCGAAGGCACTGGGGGATGGAGTTCCAGAGCCTGGGGGCTGAGAGGCTGAAGGCCCGACCACCGATAGTAGGGCGGTTGGGGCGGGGGACGTGGAGCAGACCGGAGCCAGAGGAACGGAGGGTACGGGCAGGTAGGTAGGGGGATAGTAGGTTGGAGAGGTAGGAGGGAGCAAGGCCGTGAATGGCCTTGTAGGTGAGGATGAGGATCTTGAAATCAATCCTCTGGGGGATGGGGAGCCAGTGGAGGCGAGCGAGGGTGGGAGTGATGTGGTCCTGGTGCGGGACAGTACACGAGCTGCAGAGTTCTGAATGACCTGCAGCTTGTGGAGGGAGGTGGCGGGAAGGCCGGCGAGGAGAGAGTTCCCATAGTCCAGCCTTGAGGTGACAAAGGCGTGAACCAGGGTTTCAGCAGCGTGAGGGGTGAGGTAGTGCCGTAATCTGGCGATATTCCGGAGGTGATGGAAGGCGGTGCCAGTTGTGGTGCGGATGTGAGGGAGAAAGGACAGCTCAGGGTCGAACAAAACGCCGAGGTTCCTGACTGGCTTTGAGAGGTGGAGAGTGCAGCCTTGGATGCTGATGGTGTCAGCGCCTGAGGTGCGGAGGCGCTGACGTGAGCCAATCAGGAGGGCCTCGGTTTTTCGCACGTTGAGCTGAAGAAAGTTGTCTCTCGTCCAGGACTCGATGTCGGACAGGCAGCTGTCAGGACATCGGTGGTCGTGGAGTTGAGAGTAGAGGAGGAAAGGTAGAGTTGGGTGTCATCCGCATACATGTGGAAGTTAACCCCATGTTTGCGGATGATGTCACCGAGGGGGAGCATATAGAGGGTGAAGACTCTCTTCCTCCTCCTCTCTCCCTCCCTTCCCTCCCCTCCCCTGACCATTCCCCCCCTCCCTCCTCCCTCCCTCACCCTGACCATTTCCCCCCCTCGCTCCCTCCCTTCCTCCCCCTGACCATTTCCCTGCTCGGTCATGACCAACTGTGCAGCGCTGGACGTCCTCCTGACGTGAAAGGCGCTCTATAAATGGAATCTTGTTGTTGTTGTTGTTGAAGAGGAGGGGACCGAGGACAGAGCCCTGAGGGACACCACATGAGACAGTACGGGGGGTGGAGGAGAAGCCATTCGTTGAGACGAAGTGAAGACGGTGGGAAAGGTAAGAGCTAAACCATTCAAGGACAGTGCCTTGAAGGTTGAGGTGGGAGGACAAGCGGTGGAGTAGGATAGCGTGGTCGACCGTATCGAATGCTGCCGATAGGTCGAGGAGGACGAGGAGACAGAGGGAGCCCTGGTCACAGATAGTCAGGATATCATTGGTGACCTTGACCAGGGCAGTTTCTGTGCTATGAGCAGCACGGAAACCTGACTGAAGGGGTTCAAAAAGAGAATGGGTGGAGAGGAAAGAGCGCAGTTGGGAGGCGACAACTCTTTCCAAGACCTTGGAGAGAAAGGGGAGGTTGGAGATGGGCCGGTAGCTTGATAGCTGCGACGCATCAAGGGAGGGTTTTTTCAGGGTGGGCGTGATGATGGCAGTTTTTAATGTACCCACCATTGAGAAACAGATGTTTCTTCCAAATGCAGAATTTGTTGGCATGACACAAGAGGAATTACTTGAAAGTTAAAGTTTGTTTCGGGCAAAAACAGTTAAATCTAAAGTGATATTTAGGTCTAATATGTTGAGCCTACACAAATTCTTGTTGCTAGTTTTCATTTTCAGAGAATCTACAGAATCTATAAAAATTGCATTTAATGTAGCATCTTTCACATCTGGAGGACATCTCAAAGCGTAGTGACTGTATTTTCTCGGCAAATGTGGCAGCCAATTTGGGCATAACAATATCTTACAAACAGCCATGAAATTAATAACCAATTTTAATTTGGAGAAATGTTGCCCAGGTCACAAGGGAGAAATTCCCTTCTTTTCGAATTGTGCCGTGAGATCCGGAGCACTACCCTGTGTGAAGGGCTCTATATAAATGCAAATTGTTGTTGTTTTATCTCCATCTGAACCAGTATTCTGCTGACATTTCAGAAGCATCTAAGGCTGTTAGATGTATAGGACACACTATATTTGTTTGCTGGTCTGAACCGTTCTAATTTACTTCACGATACTGTGGTATCCATTTGTGATCACAATATGACATTGTATCAATTACATTCAATCTTATTAGTGTGGTATCCAATTCTGACCACCAGGTGGAGCTGCTTAGATGACTACGTGTTCAAAACTATATTGTCTTTTTTTAAAAATCTTTCTGGACACTGCAAAGCCAATTTGAAAAGAACAGCTGCGCCGGATCCCATATTCAAAGTATGAGCTTACAGGACACTGGTCAGGCCGGACCAGGAGAACTGTTTATAGTCCGGTTGCCATGACACAAGAGGGCTGGTTTGGCAATGTAAAACTAGTCTGATTCCCCCAGCGTTAGAGGGATGAACTTTGAGGAATGACTGGAATCAAGAACTCTTCTGAAGGAACCTTATAAAATATACAATGTGCTAATTGAGAGAATGTAAAGACTAAACATTGTTTTCATACACTCTGAGGTAGGTAATAGAACAAGAGCGCAATGAGTTGAGAATTGTGGAGAGCAATTTTAGGATAGCAGGACGTTTTGCTCAAGTTCAACCCATTTGATCTCATGTTTTCAGAATACCCACCGTACCCCATCTTTCCAACACAGCGTCAAGCTATTGTTTAAATCAGTCCAGTGTACTGAGCTCAACACCACCCTTCCTGGAAAACTTTTACAGACGATAGTCCAAAAATAAATTACTTCCTGGTAATATGTTCTGAAAATGCAACTTTTTTTCTACCATCTCATTGCATTTGTTCTGGGTTTAATTTCTCAATCCACTTAAAATGTTACATAACTTCTAAGATCTCCTTTCAAGACTGAAGAGCCCTAGCTTGTCTAATCATTGCTCAAAGCCTAGGCTAGCTCATTCCTCTTAACACCTAGGCTCATCCCCGTTGCTCTCCTCTGTGTTGCCTTTAGAGCAACAGTTATGTTGCAGCAAACAGAACTGCATGCAGTATTTTCGATGCAACTTTATAGCTTGAACTTGTATAGAGGGAAATCAATGGTTAGAACCTTCTACCGGGAAAGTGATTTGAGTTGAGAACACTGGAGTCATTTACAAAGCAGCTTGGAGAAGGTAACTTGCATTTATCTGTATTGATCTTCAATGATCAACCCAGTTTGATATCCTGTCAAGTTCTCTTTGCAATTACCTGGCTGCATCTCGGATTCCAGTTTCCCCCCTAGCTTGGTATATCTGTAAATGTAAGTACCATGCACTCATTGAATTATATTAAGCATTAAGTCGCTCTGGAATTCCACAGAGTTAAAAATTACCAGAATTAAAAGATGTGCAGTTATTTCTAAATCTTCCTAGCTTCCGGGTCACTTGAAAAACAAGGGAGTACAAGACCTAAAAGAATAAGATCAAATTCCATACCAATATATTAGAGCTGTAGCGATGGCAAAACCACGTTTTTCCTTTGATCTGTCCTGTCATTTAAATTCCTATTTCTTTGACACCTTTCAGCTGTTGCACTAATCTCAAACAGCATAGCATGTACAACATTTCACCATGTTAATCCTCCTCGGACTTAAAATAGATACAACATTCCAGTGAACAACGCAAAATTGTGGCAATATCCAGGTGGTACTTAAAATAGCCTAACGTCTTAAATAAAATTACAAAATAGAATCTTATTTGACACTGCACAACAGAAAGCAGATGTTCCTTAAGGTAATGCAGTATTATAACAGAAGCAGATTAAAACAGTCATTACCTTCTGCTCGTGGAACACTTGCTGCCTACATCCACAAATCAAAGTTACTGTGAATTAACATCTGCAGTGCAGCAGATGTGGATATAATGATCATTCCCCTGACAGGTTCTCATGATGCTTGTCCACTGCCTTGCCCTGCTGCGTGACTTGACATGTGAAGCCTGCTGCAGGGTTTGTAAAAGGACTTAACACGACTGGAACTTTTATCAGAAGTTAATATTGCCAAGCCACAATGTTAATGCCAGATGATTATACAGATAGGGATCTCTATAATGGCTGGAGTCCAGTTGTCTTCAAAAGCATTCTTCTACCCACAATTCAAATAAACAATTCTGCATGAGGAGGCTATATGTGGGCCATCTGAATTATAGTAACTGCATCAGCTCAAGGACCAACACAACCC